TCCCTGAGAAGCAAAGGCCAAGCAAGCCAGGGACCAATTCACCGGCATTAATGTTTGAGTCGTGCAATTATGGGTCCTTGATCTCCCAACATCTTTAAGCCTCCGTGTCCTCCTCTACGAAAGGGGGATAACGGTGATATCTCACCCGGCAAGTCTCGTGAGGAATGCATGTAAAGTGCATTGGGAAGTCATGGGTATCCAATGAACAGGAAATACTCTTCTTTGCAGGAAATACTATTATTTATAAGTATTTTTATTTACAGCAAATACAATCATGTACCAGGAACTTTGTAACCTGCAGGGAGAATGGTATCTAACTCCTTCTGGGGCAAGTATTTCTTTATCGTAGCTTATCTTTATAAACGGATATGGTAGTTTTTATAAGCAATTTTAAAACCCAGCCGTAGTCAATAAACAATAAAATTATATCAAGATTCTTGTTCTGGAATTGCCTAGAAAATAACACCTGAAAAATCTAAGATATAATGCAGGGAAACTTAAAAAATGAAAGAAACAGATGCATAATAAAGAGAAAATCTCACTTAAAAGCCAGAGATAGGCAGATAAAATGATAGTTACAAACTTTCCTGAAGAGAAGTTATCATGAAGTTATTACACATGCCCAGAGAGTGAAACAACATTCTAAGTCAACCCATTTTTCTGTCCCTGCAGAAATCTGAGTTGGAGTGAAGCTATGTTTGGACCCGAGTTCGATTCCTCCACTCCTCTCGGAGAGCCCGGCCAGCTACCGAGAGGATCTCGCCCGCACGGCAGAGCCTGACAAGCTACGCATTCCATATGCCAAACACAGTAACAACAAGTCTCACGATGGAGACGTTACTGGTCCCACTCGAGCAAATTGATGAACAACGGGAGGACCGTGACCGTGACCCGTGACCCGGGGGAGGGGGGATAAGAAACAAATGGGTGGAGGTATACCAAGCAAAACAAGTGACAAGGGAAAAGATAAACACCCGATGGTGTTGCACATAGGTGGGAGATCAAGAAAGCAAGAGAAGGATCAGTGTCCAGTGAAAGTCCACCCCAAACTCTCACCACTGAAAACCAAGGTACCAAGTGAGGGGGAAATGCAGGCTGAGAGAGTCAGTGGAAAGTCTTGGTGTGGGAAGAAACACAGGCACTCTGGTGGACGGGGTGGCTACATCACATCCCTGAAACGTACCAAATTCATAATCTTGTAACACAATGTTCTCTCAGTGAGAGATAACTGAAAGGATGCAATAATCCTTACAAATATGTAGACAGAAAAAGCCTATTTTCATGTTAGAATAGAAACCCCTTGATACAAGATTCAAGACCTGGAACATTATTCTAGGTGATTAAAGGAGAAGAAAAAAGAAATTGTCATAATTTGCACATAATCTATCCGTGCTATGGGTCCCCTCATTCTCCTCTCCTTTTCTAAAATCAACCTGTAGGGATGAATTGATCATTGTTACGTGCAAAATCATTTCTAAGGTCTCTAAAAATCACAAAAAAAAAACCACAAGATAAACTAAATGTGTTAAGCTTAAAGAGAAAAGTTTTCCTGTGCCCATCATCTGCTTTTTCTTTCTGAGTCTACATCTATTTTTCCATATTTTCAGGAGTAATAGATTTGTTCACTTCGGACTCAAGTGCTGGGTTCTTAACGACAAGTTTTCCTTTTACCAGAATATCAAACTTCTCTGATTTACCCACACAGATCCCTCTGTCCATAAGTTTCAGGGCTGAATATTCTTCAACAGAAATTGTTCTAACGATTCACCAACAAAAGGGCCTCTGGTATCCTACTCTCTCTCTCTTCTCTCTCTCTCTCTCTCTCATCTTTTGAAATAAAACTCAGGTTTGCACATATGCTTCTGGAGAAATGTACCCTGACTCCACTACAGTTTAAGTACTCTCAGGACCAGGGTCCGTGTGAGAGCCCTGGGTTCTATCCCCAGCATCGCACAACCCTTGGAGCATGGCAGGGAAGGGCCCTCAAACCAAATAAAATGAAAATAATGCAATCCCTTCTTTCATAGTAAAATGTTATTTATCTAACATTATAGTAACAGGAGGGAGGGTTACAGGGGAGGGTTATGGGGGAAGGTAAAGGGGAGGGTTACAGGGGAGGGGCTGGAGTGATAGCACAGCAGGTAGGGCTTTTGCCTTGCATGCTTCTGACCCAGGTTCGATTCTTCCGTCCCTCTCGGAGAGCCCGGCAATCTACCGAGAGCATCCCGCCCACATGGCAGAGCCTGGCAAGCTCCCCGGGGCATATTTGATATGCCAAAAGCAGTAACAACAAGTCACACAATGGAGATGTTAGTGGTGCCCGCTTGAGCTAATCGATGAACAGGAAGACAGTGCTACAATGCTGTAGTGCTATAATAACAGGAAGTAGTTACCTGTGTTATTGATATATTTCAACATCCTTAACGTCACGTCTGTTAAGATTCCACTGCCCTAATTTTATTACAATACCTGCTGGAAAAGGGGTGATCGCTCAAGCCAAACGTTCCAAAGACATGAAGAGCCATGACCCAGGGGCAGGACTGAACAGTCACAAACCTGAGCCACGCGCCTCATCCTCAGAGATGTGGAGTCTGCAGGGCGGGCTCAGGATCAGGCAAATTCAACTTTGCTTGTTATTGGTTTATACTTCACGAACCTTAGCGGGGGCGAGGGGAGATGCTGCATCTCACTGGTTACTAGAAGGTTCGTGACTATTCTCCATCCTCAGCTGTGCTCCTTTGTGTTGAAATGATACAGCTGGCCGAGCTGGCCAGAGCAGGCCCACACAGCACGAGAGGTGTCAGCTAGGAGTCGAGGCCACTCCTAAAAATTTGGCCAGACTGTTGCTCAATGAGTAAAAGGGTTTGCCTGCTCATGATGGTGTAAGTCTGAAAGTCTCTCCCAGAGCGGCCAATGCTGCTCCCGGCAGGTGTGGGTGCTGGCAATGGAGCAACCAGTGGGGTGGGGGGAGTCTTGGGTGCGACTCTGTTTGTCAGGTCCTTCCATCTGTTTGCTCATCACCCAGAAGGGATGTTGACGGATTTTTTTCTCTGAAGAGGGGGCAATGAGTTGACCAGGTTTGGGGACCTCTCATCTAAGCTTTTGGTTCTCAAGGAAGCTTTTTCTGCAGCTCTGAGTTTGCCAGCAGCCTAAGCACCCCAAGACTCTTAGGGCACCTTCTGTCAAAGCCAGCTCCGCTCCCTGGGCTCTTCTCTCAGTCCAGAGCCACTGGCAGCTAAGTCACACTTCATTAGCACCAACGAGTCTTCCATGGAGCAGCAGAAACTCGACGCTAATGCCGTTTCATTTACAACAGCACTTTATTAGCACATTCTGCATGGAGGGAAATTAGAAATCCCGGAATGTTCACCAGCTTGCACAGAGTCACACAACTCTATAATCATCATCCAGATCAAGATATGAGACACCCCAACTGCCCCAGTAATGCCCTTCTGCCCCTCTCCAGGCCACTTGAATGGCCTCCCCACCCCCACCCGAGAATCTGCCACTCTGGAGTCTAACTACTCTTCCCACCTGTGAGTGGCCTTCACACAATGGTGGTTGCTGAGTTTTGGATCTGGTTTATCCTGCCCCTGTGTCGCGTTCTTTAGTCTGCTCTTCTCTAGGAGGACGACTTCCCTCGCTGAGTCCAAACGTTTGTCCATTCTTTTAAGGTGGAGACACAATTGTTTCGTTCCAGGCAATGATGAATAAAGCTGCTAGGAGCATTCTTGTCCCCTGCATCGAGACGAGGAATGGACCACTGATCCCCAGGGGGCAGGTCTGCTCTGTTGGTTGATGCCAGCAAGCTGTCCATCCTGGCTGAACTTTGCGTTCCTGCCCAGAGCACAGGAGGGAGGACCCCACTACTCCAGGGTTTCACTCTGTGCCCTGTTACTATGCAACCACTTGTGAATCATTATTTAAGTCACCCAGAGAGATCTCCTGGTTAGAATCCTCTTCCCCGATGATGGTAATGGAGTAGACAGTCTTTCTCTACGCCCGCTGGTCGTTCTCCACTTTCCTCTGTGAAACATCTGCTCCAGTCTTTTTATTTTTAATTTTTATTAGTGAAACACCATGAGGTACAGTTGTAGACTTACACATTTTTGTGCTTGGGTTTCAGTTATACAATGATCCAGTAACCATCCCTCCACCAGTGCCCATTCTCCACCACCACTGATCCCAGTATCCCTCCCACCCCCCATATCCCCCATCCCACCCCGCCTCTGTGGCAGGGCATTCCCTTTTGTTCTCTCTCTCCTTTTGGGTGCTGTGGTTTGCAAAAGAGGCATTGAGTGGCAGTCATGTTCGGTCTATAGTCTACTTTCACCTCTGCTCCAGTCTTCGGCTGCCTAATTCCCCATCTTCGCCTTCTGATTTGTGTGTCTGATGGATTCTGGGCTAGTCCTCAACCAGGTGAGTGTATCTTGATTTTTTTTTTTAAATCAAACTGTGGTTTGCTTTTTCACTTCCTTAACATAGACTTAAGATGAGCAGAAACTTCTTAATTTTTATAAAATTCAGTGTATTTTTTTTTATTTTAGTGTTTGTATGTCCTATTTGCTGAGGTAGAGGCTATTAGTGGCAGGCAGTCCCCAGGGGCTATTTCTGGTTCCCTGCTCAGGGATTACTCCTGCTGGTGCTCAGGGGACCATGTGAGGTTCTAGGTCTGGAACTGCGGTCAGCTTCATGCAAAGAAAATGCCTTAATTCCGGTGCTATCTCCCCAGCCTGCTTCTTTTCTGTCCTATTTTAAAACAAACCATTATGTACTCCAGCTTGTGAAGGCTTTCCTCAGGAGCATGTGATTCACCTTCTCATTGAGTTGAATTCTTTTGATCGTTAGGGAGGAACCGAAGTTCTTTCCCACTGTTCTCCCTATGATTCCAATAGAATTTCTCAAAAGGTATATATGTTCCCACTCTGAAAAAAAAAAAAAAACAAAACAAAGTAAAAAAAATAACATTGGCATCTGTGTTCAGAATCTCTTGATGGCACACAGTTCTCTTCCTGATTTCTCTGTTTTATTCTGGTGATGCGTTGATACGCTCATTTCTATATCTGGCATATATAAATAGATTGTGACACTATCATCACTTCTGATGCCTACTAAGTTGAATCACTTGAAGTTGGCAGCACGAACCCTTCAACTTTACTCCTTTTTCGAGGTCCTTCGCATTCCCATACAAAATTTGACATGACTTGTCCATTTCCACCAGAACCTTGTGACATTTCTCATTGGGTTTGCACGGAGTCCCTTCCTGAATTTGAGACATGAATTGTGTTGTTTATTTTGTCCCGAGTGAATACATGTGCAGGGAGGAAATCCGGGCTGACGAGTTGCCAGGAACTCAGCCCTCTCCCCCTCCTCCTCAGAGACGGCTCCTCGTGTCTCCTCACTGACAGAGTCATAAGAGTGTCAGCTCACGCATCGATGCCATAATTAAGAGTGTCAGTTCAAGCATTGATGCAATCACTCAGGGAAGAGGGAAGGACAGGAGGCTGGAAGGGAGCAGCTGCTGGTTTTTCATCCCCAAAGCACTGTTTCAGAGAAGACCCAGAGAACACTGTGTCCACGTCTCGCAGCCTGAGTGTTGGGTACGCCCTTCCATCTGCAGAGGACGCTGAGATGTGTCACTTCTGCACCAAGGCCCTGCAGCGTCCAGTCCGCGGCTGACGGGAACAAGCCCTGGCAGGAGTCTTGAGGGTTGGTTTGCTGCACGCCGGCGCTGCAGTGGGTTCAGGCCACGGCAAGGGCCTGGGTGCAGCTGTGTTCGGGGAGCCTGGTGGGGGCGGGGGAGGGGGCTCCAGGCTCAGACCCGCACTGCAACACAACCCTGGAGAGTCCTGCTCCCCGCCTGTCTGACTGCTTCAGAACGAGGTGGAGACATCTGCACATCCTCCTTCCCGACAGAAATGTCATCGCTCACCTCTCAAGAAACCTGGGAATCAAGTTTTCGTACGCACCAGCGTTCTTCCTTCTCGGCATCCTTCTCAAGGGCCCTGACACTCTTCTGTGAAAGGACACTTGCAATCGATAGCAGGACCTGGAAGCAGCTCGAGTGTCCGAGAACAGATGACTAGATGAAGCCACGGGGGATGGGGGACCCCGGAGTCACCGGGCACGAGAACCAGGGGACTCAGAACTATCCTCACCTTATGACAGAAGCACTAACGAACGTCCTGCTTTCTCACCGGCTCGCACACTGCCTGGCTAGAGTGGCCCAGGAGGACAGGCTGTGGCCAGGCCTCCTGGCGAGGGGCAGGGAGGGGCAACGACGTGGACATCTACACCGCAGGCCACAGGTCTGATTCCGGTTGCTTCCACTCTTCCCCGAGCAGCGCGTTAAAACTGAGAGGCTGGAAGTACTCCAGGCGGTGGCTGGGTGCAGAGACAAGGGGGGGGGAAGCACCGTGAGAAGTATCTCCCTGAGGGGGGGCAGGTCTCCATGGTAACCCCACAGGCCGAACTTCCAGGACCACCACCCCGGGGCTCAGGCCCGGCAAAGAGAAGGCCCGAAACCACAGTGGCCCTTAGCACTCGGACTGACTCCAGGCCCCCCTGTCGGGCACAGCCGGCCACCGAGATCTTCCTGTCGCAGCTGGCCCCACCCCACCTGCCACCATCGTGGTGGGGCCCATCCCTGGGGTCCCACAGGCCACCACCAGGCAGGTGCCCATGATGTCCGGAGGGAGGTGCCCGTGGCCCCCCAAGGACGCCCCTCGCAGCCACTCACAAGTCGGCCGTCTGTCCCGGTCGCACGTCCTGCTGAGGCACCGGGTACAGCGCCTCGTAGCGCCTGTCAGCCGCCGACCCGTGGATGGCAAAGGCATTGAACTTGCTCACGCCGGAGGGAAAGTAGCTCCAGGGAAGATGAGCTCTGCCTTCCCAGGCCGTCTCCCGCCTGGACACGTGGAAGGACAGAGGGAGGCTCTGCTGCGCACAGGAGCAGAACACGGAAACTCAGATCACACCTAAGCAGGGTGTGCACGTGCGCGCCTGTGGGTGCAACCTGTGCCCTAGGCGTGTCCCGTGTGGGCGCCACAGCGTGTGTCTGTGTGTATGCGTATGCATGCGTGACTGTGTTGACAGGCATCGGAGTAGAGAGGCGTCTGTGTGTGCATGCGTGCGCGGGCCTTCGAGGATCTGACGCAGGGTTTCACTTACCTTCCACACGTCCCTTCTTCCAGAGAGGAGAAGCACCAGATGCTGCCCGTGACTGTCGAGGGAAAGAGCTTCCTGAGCCTCTGTGAGGGGCAGACGCCCTGTCCCAGCTGCTCCTCCTTGCTGCACGGCGCGTGCCGGTCACTAAGCTTCATCCCACCAGGACCACCCCCAGGGTGGGGGGGGAGTGGCCAGGGGTCCCCATTGCCCAGCATGGCAGTTGGTACCCGGGCTTTCAGGTCCTGAGGTGTGTGTGTGTATGTGTGGGTGTGTTTGTGAGTCTCCATGTGTGAGTGTATGAGCTATGTGCATGAGTTGTGTGAGCATGTGTGAATCTGTGTGAGTTGCGTGTCCCGGTGTGAGTGTGTGAGCGTGTGAATTGTGTGTATGTGTGAATGTGAGCGTGTGAGTTGGGTGTCTCTGTTTGCGAGAGTTGTGTGAGTGTGTGTGCAGCCCTCTGCAGCGTTCAGACAAGGAGTCCCGGCCCCTGAGCAACACTGGGTGCAGGCCTGGGCTCCCAGCAGTGCTGGGGTGACCTGGGGCCCCCCCGCAGGACCCAAGCAGCACCCCATCCTCAAGCCCTCATGCTGGATCCACGGCCAGGTGGGCTGAGAACCACGAGGGGCCCCAAAACCTACCTCCTTGGGAGACCCAGGAAGCAACCTCAAAGCAAGCCTCTCAAAACTCATTCCCAAAGCCAGTATTTTTATACACAATGGTGGCTGTGTGATTTCTTAATTAAAGAAAATCAAATTCTCCTGTCTTGTACTCTGAAAAAGCCATTATTTGGTGAAAAGAAGTGGCTGTTTTCATCTCGGATCATTAACACAAAGGATGCAATTCCGAGGGCTGCGGGCTGCGAGTTGAGTTCTGGACTTCCAGATCAGCCACAATCTGTGCGCCAGAGTTTTCCCGCCCACTGCCAAGGGGCTGGGAAAATTCCCCGGGCTTTTCAGTAAAACAATGTGGCACATTAATTGAAAGCTTATGCAAAAGAGAACATGATTACTCTTCTGAAAAAATGTAAGTGTAAATGGCCAGACTTCCCAAATTACAGTTGGCGAGAAAGCAAAGTGTGAGGAAAGAACGGGATGGCTAAAATCCCGCCAAATAAGTGGCTCCGCATTTCTGCCCAGCCTACAAAGGGACAGACCCGCGGATACAAGATGCTAAGAGGGACTTAAGTGTCACTGTCAATAAACAGGGCAGTGAAAAACGTTATTATTCAGTATTTTACAATTTTAAGTGGTGTTATATTTAGATGGGAGGTAGATATAAACCCACATTTTCAAGCCTACAGACAAAGAAAGCGTGCCAACACGGTGAAAAGGACGCCACAGGGCAAGTTCCACATGGAGAGTGTTCGGGTTGTGATATTTTTTTTTTTTTGGCTTTTTGGGTCACACCTGGTGATGCACAGGGGTTACTCCTGGTTGATGCGCTCAGGAATTACTCCTGGCGGTGCTCAGGGGACCGAATGGGATGCTGGGAATCAAGCCCGGGTCGACCTCGTCGTGCAAGGCAAACGCCCTCCCCGATGTGCTATTGCTCCAGCCCCGGGTTGTGATATTTTAGTGAGTCCAAGAAAACTCAGGTAGGAATCAGTCTTCACTAGTCTTTGCCCCAATGCTGTGTGCAAAACAACACAGGATGTGCTCAATAAATAAATGGTAAAGGAAAAATACATGAACACATAATCATCACATATGAACTTATTTAAAGTTTAATCTGGCCATTCGAAAATTCCCCTAAAGGAAACACGCTCAAAAACTCCCTCAATTTATCACTATGTCTTTATGTCTGAATAGTTAATACGTGATACAAATTCTAGAGAAAGCAAGAGTTTCTGCTTTGTAATTTTTCATTATTCAAAAATAGTTTCTTCTCTGGAAAGAAAGATGGTGGCCACACGGGAGCCTTGTGGACAGCAGGTATGAGCCGGGGGTGTTGGGGCGACTAAAACCTCATGGGAAGGGGGGCGTTCCGGCCCGTCCTTCACGCCCTACCAAGGTCACCAGTTGCCCCCCCACAAGAGGCTCTCCGGCACGGCCATGACTCCAGAGCACAGAAACCAATCTCTTAATTATCTGACTTTTAGTAGAAATACTTCCAGGGTTAATAAGTAAAATAGCAGAAATCCAAAACCGCACGGCCGCGATAGCAGCCGAACAACAACATTTAATTCTTGAACCCAGCTGTAGAAAGCAAATCATTTCACAATGCTTTTTCAGCATGTCTGATTTGGGATTGGGGGGGGGGAGGGGGGTGGCAGTAAACTCTAAATGATAATGGTGCATCTTTTATCGAAACAATGAATCTAGTCAAAGTAGATAGAGTGTTAACTAGAACTCATCTGCCTCACAGGCATTGGGAGGGGTGGGAGGTGGGGTTCTATTGGGCTTCATGGTAAAAAATAAGTATTGGTAAAGGGAAAGGTGTTTGATATTTGCATGACTGAGACCTAAACCTGAAAGCTTTGTAACTTTTCCCACAGTGATTCAATAAATAAATAAATTATAAAAAAATAGTTCCTTCAAAGTTTTAGAATAACCAATTACCGTGGTAAAATGAAATTAATTTCAATATAGAATTTTCGAATATTTACAACATATATTTTAAACACATTTTAAATCATACATTTTCTCAAAATAATTAATAATTGTATATAACTCACATTAATTCAAGTTAGGATCCCTCTAAAATTAGAGTTTAATCATATGATATACTTAAATAATAATTTATTCAAATTGTGTAGGAATGAGTTAGAAAAAATACTTTATACTTACGGACAAAGCTCAACTTCTAAATACTGTTCAGTCAGGTCATTCAAGAAAAATGCTTCCACAACTTTGGAAACAGAGATATAGTATATTAAGAAGTTTGAAATGTTTTGTTTATTCCTTAAAAATATAAAATAAATTCTACATTTTTTAATTAAAACACCATGATTCACAAAGTTGTTCGTAATACAGTTGTTTCAGGCATTTAGGGTTCCAACACCACTGGGGGGACCTTTCCTCCTCCAGGGTCCCCAGTTTCCCTCCCAAGCCCACCTGCCCCCTTAGACACGTAACTGATTTACTTTATCTTTCTTGCTCCAACAAAACGTAAAGAAATGGCAAATAGGACGATCAGAAAATAAATCAGTAAGAGCCAGTGTGTGATTGCTATCTGTTTATCTAACTCCAACACTCTCCAGTAGTAAAAGGGACAAAGAAAATAAATTAGACACGGCCTGGAAGGGAAAATATACAGGAAACTCATCATCATTAATTATCTCCCATGCCAGTCTCTCATAAATTGAGAAGACTAATAAAAGTGCGTGCTTGTGAGGCTGTAGAGAAATCCACATTCCGCATCACTTGCGGGGCCTTTGTTCTCAGGGAGCAATCAGCAACCAGGAAAATAAGCTCACTGGGGCAGCAACCAAAAAGGAGAAAAGATCTGAGTCAGTGTTCCTCAAACTCACAACTGCAAGAGCCTAACACACTCTCTCTCTTCCTCTCTCCCCCTCCCTCCCCTTCTCTCTCCCACTCTCTCTCTCTCTACCCCTCTGTCTCTCTCCCTCTGTCTCTCCCACTCTGTCTCTACCTCTCTCTCTCTCCCTCTCTCTCCGTCTCTCTCTCCCTCTCTGTCTCTCTCCCTCTCTGTCTCTCCCTCTCTGTCTCTCCCACTCTCTCTCCCTCTGTCTCCCTCTCTGTCTCTCACTCTCTGTCTCTCCCTCTCTCTGTGTGTGTCTCTCTCTCTCTCCCTCTCTGTCTGTGTTTCTCTCTCTGTCTCTCTCCCTCTCTGTCTTTCTCTCTCTCCCTCTCTGTCTCCCCCAACACCCATGGGTGTCCACATACGTATACACACACTGATTTGTCCTCTTTCTCTGGAGAAACCCTCCATCTTATTCCTTCATCACCTTACAAACATTTTTGCAGCCGCTTTGTATTAAACACTCTACCAGACTCTGGGATCACCTTGATTAGTTCGCAAGCTAATAAGACACATAGTGGAAAAGTGGTGCACATGTCAGCGTGGACAGACGTTGGGGGCGTTGGAGGAGAAAGGGCAGAGCCTCTCAGCCCTCGGGCTCAGGGAGTGCTGGGGACCAAGGCTCCTGTTGGCCTTGTCAGGTCAGGGATGGGGTGGTCAGAGATGCATCTCCATGACAGAGCACATGCAGTTCTATCTTGCTAGACAAAACTCAACAGAGGAAGAAGTGAGGCCTCAGATAGAATAAGGGGCTGGATCACGGTAAGCAGTAGATCGGGATCACATCAAGAAGGGCGAACCTATCCTTCTAAGAAGACTTTTAAGGGGGGATGAGCGTGGGAGGGATCCTGGGATCCATGGTGGTGGAAAATGGGCACTGGTGGAAGGATGGGTATTTGATCATTATATAATTAAAACCCAAGCACAAACATTTGTAAGTCTACAACTGTACCTCATGATGTTTCACTAATAAAAATTAATTTAAAAAAAATTTTAAAAAAGACTTTTAACTGGCCAAGTGATAGAGGCAGTACAGCAGGGAGGGCACTTGCCTTGCAGATGGCCAACCCTGGTTCAATCCGCATCACCAAAGCCTGCCAGGAGTGACCCCTGAGCACAAAGTCAGAAGCCCTGAGCATCGCCAGATGTTGCCCCCCCCAAAACAAACAAACAAATGAAAGAAAAAAGAAAGACAATCTTTTATTTTAGAGAGGCCAGACTGGCTCCCAAATGAAAGATGAACTTCGGGGCTAAAAGACTCTTTGGGGGACTCAGTGCAGTGAAAGACGGTGAAGGGGGAGCTGGCAGGGACGGGGGCGTGGGTGCTGATGCTGAAATCAAGAAAAGCTGAGGAGCCCAGCAACCCTCTAGAGAGGGAGCGAGGGGCGGGGGGGGGGCCAGATGGAGCACTCCGCCTGGGAAATGGGTGTTACGCGGCCACAAGCGAGCGGAAGGCCCGCCTGGCGGGTCCCGGATCGGCGGAAGTCGCTGCCCTGCCGGGAAAACAGACGGCCGCCCTGAACATGGTAACAGGCCACGGCAGCAATGTTCCCGGCAGCTGAGATCCGGAAGTCCCTCAGGTGTCCAGACCAGTCACTGGATTAAGAAACCAGAGTCCACTGGCACAATGGGACACTCCTCGATTATGGAAAAGACAGAACCTGTGGTCCACCACAGTGCAGGAGCTGGAGGCATCGAGCTGCCAGCCAGCAGGACAGCTGCAGCCACAGAATGATGGCTCAGATGCGGGCATCACTGAGCACCCACAGAATGATCGCTCAGACATGGGCATCATGGAGCAAAGCAGGGGACAACAATGGCCAAAGATGACAGGACCTGAGAACTGGTCTACAGAGCTGGTCTGGGGTGCAGAGGGAGATTGGGGAGGGGGTCCCGAAGGGTGTGATGAGAGGAAGAAGACAGTGGTGCAGGGCGTGGGTTGGAGAGCTGCACACATCAATGGTACTGCAAACCACAGTGCTCTGATATTTTTTTAAAAAGACATTTCATCAGATAAAACCCAGGTTCTAGTCTCAGCTTCCCATAAGGTCCCCCAAGCACCGCCAGGAGTAATCTTTGAGTGCCGGCCAGGAGCAAGTCCTGAGCATCGCTGGGTATGGTCCAAATACCAAAAAAGGGTTGGGGGAGGGGAGGAGTAAGAGAAACAAAGGACAAAGCACGGGATCTAAGCATCTGGGCCGTGTCTGCCCTGGCCCAGGGTCGGCTGGAGTCTGACCAGCAATGGGGAAAAGACTTGCAGGAGACGTGTGCAGGGCCCCGCCGGCAGCCTGTTGTCACGGGCGGGGAGGGGGTGGGGTGCTGGACCTGCAATGACACGCGTCCACTCACCTTCATAGTCCCACAGTCCACTGAAGGGCTGCCCCGGGGCTCCAGTGGGGGCAGGAGGGTCGTTGAAGAGCGGGGCAGTGACCTCCAGCACCACCCCTGCACTCTGGGGGTGCAGCCGCACGCAGGCCGGCTCATGCGTCACGGGGAGGCCGTCCCACGTGTGTGCGATTCTAAACTCCATGTGGGACCCGGCGCTGCGACCCTGTGCCAGGGAGTGACTGGCTGCGGAGGGACGGCTGGCAGTGAGGCTGAACACGGCTCTGCAAGTCGGCGGTGGGGGCCACAGGAACCCCAAGCAAAGGAGGTGCCCGGTCCTGCAGCTTCAAGTCCTGGATGCCTCCTGGGAGAGAAGAGCAGTTAAGTCCACTTCAAAGATCACGCTGTTAGGCAATAAAATGTCGGGATCCCTGAGCGCCCTGGGGACTGGATAATCCCTATCTTATCTTTACGTTTGCTCTAGAAAGCATTTGACTTGGCAGAACGCCTGGCAATGCCTGTTGGTTTGGTTTGAGCTGGAACCCGTTTCTGCAGCCCCCGGCCTTCCCGGGACTGGGTCTGACTTCCTGAGCCCTTGCATCTGGGATATTCCCAGTATTAGATGGTCCCCCCACACCACCACCACCACCACGTGGCTCCTTCTTTCAGGTCCAGGAATAGCAGCTGCTGCCGCTGAACCTTCGAACCAGCCGAAGTCCGCTGCATCGGAGCAATATTTGCATTTTTACAACCTTCAGTGACAAGCTTGTTCTTGGCTGAAACAGCCAAGCACGTTGTGCAAAAAACGGATGCCTAAGCCCGGGCCCTGGACTTCAGCAGCGGGGGGGACCTGCCAGGGGCAGAGGGGAAGGAGGAAGAGGCTGCTGGGGTCCTGGTAGGGCAGAGGGGAAGGAGGAAGAGGCTGCTGGAAATGCCGGTTAAGCGGACCCTGGCCGGGCAGGTGAGCGCACAGGCCGGGGCGGGGCGCAGCAGGTGAGCGCACAAGCCCGGGCTGGGACCCGAACCGGGCAGCGGCCGCGCTCCCTCCAGCCGCTCCTGGGACTGTCCCTCACCGGCTCCTTCCAGATGCTTCTTAGAGGTCAGCAGAACCTGGACCCCTCCCCTGGGCAGGCCCCTGCTGAGGCTCGAGAAGGCGGCCGTCCAGGCTGCCCACGCCCGCCGCGGATTCCGCAGCGCCCGGCGCTGCGCTTCCCACCCGGGAAGGACGTAGGCGGGGAGGGGCAGGCGCGGAGGGCCAGCGGGCAGCGGACCCACAGCAGGACCAAGTCCCGGCTCCCCCGGGCGCCGAAATCTTCCCGGTTCGGTCCGGTTGGGTCCGCAGCGCGCTTCCCCTTTTGGAGCCCCCGGCCCCGCCCTCGCGGCTGCGGCAGGCCCCGCCCGACTGCCCGGGTGCCGAGCTCCGAGTGGACGCGCCTGGACGCGGCGGGGGACGCCCCAGGCCCGGGTCCTCCCAGGGGCCAGTGGCGAGTGCGCAGGGCCAGGCCGGGCACCAAAACGCACGGTTAGCGCGCAGCAGGCCTTCGCGCGCGCACTGGCGCAGGCCAGAGGCGTCCACTCTGCCCAGCTGTCTGCGGCCCCAGCCGCGCCAATGCTGACCCCCCGCTGACCTTCGCTTTCTGTGCACTCGTCACACTTGGGCAGCTCGTGACCATCAACCGGACGCTGGGTCGTGACGCTCTTCCTGACCCTTGGGAGCACAAACCACAAAGGCACGCCCTGGAGGTGGACAGCCTGGTCAGCTTGGCCCCTCTTCCTGACCGCTGTCAGCTTTGCTCAGTCCCTTCTCCCTCCTTCAGTACTTTTCACTCCACATCTCAGGGACTTAGGGTTTCTAAGCCAGTTTCCATAGAAATTCATGACATATGCAAAAAACTTTAAGCATCTCCAGGATGGGTAATCATTGACAGCTCCAAATAACAAAATGACTCTATTACATTTTTATTGCATCTGGGATTCAATTCTGCAAGAGGTCTGTCACCGCAGCCAAACCCCAAACGGCTGCAGAGCGCGTGTGTTGGGGTGAGGCCATCCTGTCTGTACCCCCGTCTGCGGGATAATTCACGGGTGTGGTGTACGAGAAGACACTTCCAAGGAAAGCAGGAAGCTAAACTGTATGAAATTGCAGTAAGCCGGCAATTTCTGTAGTTCAGCCTACATGTATTCTGCTTATAATGAACTTCTGGAAAAGAGTGTTTGTGTTTGTTTTACCCCGTCGGTTTTGTTTTATAAAAAGGACCTTATGGCAGGATAATGAAATGAGGAGTTGTACTTCAGTGGGTAGTTTCTGATGCATGAGATGGGTATGTTCTAGAACTCCGCCATCCAAGTACTTAGTAACACTGTACCAGACACTCAAAATGAAGGTGTTTGTGTCAGCTACTACAATTACCAAAACAAGAGACACAGTTAGAAAGAGAGTTCCCAGTTCCAGGCCATAATGGTAAAATAAATGATGAAGACTTTTTAAAGGTGGCATCTAGCCATACCAGTACTAACTAGTTCTGACCCCAGCTTAAACTTCTAACCTTGCATTCTTCGTGATGCTGGTAGTACTGAATGCTCAATGTCAACTTCCTAAAGAAACGAATATTTTCAAGGGTTTTCTTGATTGTAGATTTGCTCGAGTGGGCCCAGTAACTGCTCCATTGGAGACTTTGTTGTTAGAAACGTATCAAATGTGGAAGCAGGAAGCAGTGGCTAGATAATGGCTAAGCACAAACTGTGCCATTTTCTCTACCCTTCTCATTCCTTGTAGTCAACTACAGGAAACATCCCCTCCATGAGCAGTCTTGAAGGCTCCCAGCCATTCTCTTCTGCTGACCCCCGCTGTGTTCTGGGCTTGCTAGCAGGGGGTCTAGGGACAAACCCAAAGGGATCTGATGGTGACCTGGGAGCATGAACCCTAAGGGAACATCTGCTGGGGCAGGAGAGTCAGGCTGCAACAAACAGAAGGGAAGTCCTAAGGAGAAACACTTTAAGGGTCAGCAGAATCATGGGTTTTCTATCTTAACGATGAAAAAGATTTTGTGAAGGTTCATTATTCCACGAGTAAAATCTTGTAGCCAGCAAGACCACCCCCAACCGAATCTTCAACCAAAGTGTTATTTCGCATTGATCCTGGATAGCTGGAGGGTTAGGCAGTGGAGCAGAATTAACTCCAGTGTGAGAGGGAGGGACGCAGGGAGGGAGGGAGGGAGGGAGGAAGGAAGGAAGGAAGGAAGGAAGGAAGGAAGGAAGGAAGGAAGGAAGGAAGGAAGGAAGGGAGGGAGGGAAAAAGAGAAAAAGAAAGAAAGAAAGAAAGAAAGAAAGAAAGAAAGAAAGAAAGAAGAGGAAGGAAGGAAGGAATGAGGGAGGAAGGAAAGAAGGAAGGAAGGAAAGAAGGAAGGAAGGAAAAGGAAAGAAAAAGAGAAAGAAAGAAAGAGAAAAGAAAGAAAAAGGAAGAAGAGAAAGAAAGGAGAGAGAGAGAAAGAGAGAAAGAAAGAGAGAAAAAAAAGAAAAAGGATGAAGAGAAAGAGAGAAAGAAAGGAAGGAAGAGAGAGGGAAGAAAGGAAGGAAGGAAAAGGAAAGAGAAAAAGAGAGAAAGAAAGAGAGGAAGAAAGAAAGAAGGAAGGAAAGGAAGGAAGGAAAGAGAAAGAAAGAGAGAAAAAAAGAAAAAGGATGAAGAGAAAGAGAGAAAGAAAGGAAGGAAAAAGAGAGGGAAGAAAGGAAGGAAAAGGAAAGAGAAAAAGAGAGAAAGAAAGGAAGGAAGGAAGGAAGGAAGGGAGGGAGGGAGGGAGGGAAAAAGAGAGAAAGAAAGAAAGAAAGAAAGAAAGAAAGAGAAAAAGAGAAAGAAAGAAAGAAAGAGAAAGGAGAGGAAGGAAGGAAGGAGGGAGGAAGGAAAGAAGGAAGGAAGGAAAAGGAAAGAAAGAGAAAAGAAAGAAAAAGGAAGACGAGAAAGAAAGGAGAGAGAAAGAGAAAGAGAGAAAGAAAGAGAGAAAAAAAGAAAAAGGATGAAGAGAAAGAGAGAAAGAAAGGAAGGAAGAGAGAGGGAAGAAAGGAAGGAAGGAAAAGGAAAGAGAAAAAGAGAGGAAGGAAGGAAGGAAGGAAGGAAGGAAGGAAGGAAGGAAGGAAGGAAGGAAGGAAGGGAGGAAGGGAGGAGAGAGAAAAAGAAGACAAGCCCGGGAACCTTCAGGCCAGACAGACCGGGCTTCTTCGCCGGACGCGCGCGGGCCAGGGCTGGGGGGCTCCCAGGCTCGCAGCGCGGCCCCGCCCGGGGGAACCTCAGGCTGGCGCGCAGGCTCCGCCCTCCCGCGCGCTCCCGCCCGCGACTCGGGGGCGTGGCCGGGAACCCCGGGCGGAAGCGGCGCCGGGCCCCGCCCCTCGCCGGCCCCGCCCCGGCTTCCGCCCGTGGCCCCGCCCCAGGGCCGCTCGGCCAATGGCGCTCGGGGCCCGCGGAAGCGGCGGCGGCGGCGGCGGCGGGGGCGTCTCCAGGCAGCGGCGCGGGCTCCGCGTTCAAAGTGGCGGCGGGCGGCGCGATGGACGCGGGCGCGGTGGACGCGCGGCGGGAGCCGGGTAAGGGCGGGGGGCTGTGCGCGGGGCGGGCGGCCGGGTCGGCGCGGGACGGGGTCGGGCTCGTTGCACCGGCTCGAGGGAGCCGCCGGGACCGGGAGCGCGCGGCCGGCAGGTGCGGGGCCGGGCAGGGCGGGGTGCAGGTAAGATGCGGGCTGCAGGTAAGGCGCGGGGTGCAGGTAAGGCGCAGAGTGCAGGTAAGGCGCGGGGTGCAGGTAAGACGCGGGGTGCAGTAAGGTGCGGGGTGCAGTAAGGCGCGGGGTGCAGGTAAGGCGCAGAGTGCAGGTAAGGCGCGGGGTGCAGGTAAGGCGCGGGGTGCAGTAAGGTGCGGGGTGCAGTAAGGCGCGGGGTGCAGTAAGGCGCGGGGTGCAGGTAAGGTGAGGGGTGCAGGTAAGGTGCGGGGTGCAGGTAAGGTGCGGGGTGCAGTAAGGTGCGGGGTGCAGGTAAAGTGAGGGGTGCAGGTAAGGTGCGGGGTGCAGTAAGGTGCGGGGTGCAGGTAAGGTGCGGGGTGCAGTAAGGTGCAGGGTGCAGTAAGGTGCGGGGTGCAGGTAAGGTGCGGGGTGCAGTAAGGTGCGGGGTGCAGTAAGGTGCGGGGTACAGTAAGGTGCGGGATGCAGTAAGGTGCGGGGCGCGGACAAAGTGCGGGCGCGGGCAAGGTGCGGGGCGCCGGAGGATGCGGGCGCGGGCAAGATGCAGGTCACGGGGCGCAGGTAAGGTGCGGGGCGCGGACAGGTGCGGGATGCACTAAGGTGAGGGGCTTGGACAAAGAGCTGGACGCGGGCAGTTCGGGGTGCGGGCAGGCGCGGGGCCGGGCAGGTGCGGAGTCGGAAGGAGGAGCCCGCATTTGGAGCTGAGCAGTGGTCGGGCTCGGCCCTCCTGTGGCCACCGGGACCGCCCGCCCCGGGCTCCTGTGCGCGGCTCGCGGGGCCACGGGGGTCTGCCGGAGTCTGCCGGGTGCGCGTGGAGCCGGGGCGCAGGGCCGGCCCCAGGGCTGCGCACGGAGCCGGAGCCTTCGGGGTGCTCTGGCCGCCTGCCCCGGGGCCGAGCCGGCGGGCGGGGGGGCCTGGGACAGGACGTGGGCGGGGTCGCTCCGGGAAGATTCGTCCCCTCCCGGGCTGTCCTTCCCACCTGCAGCGGGTCCTTGGCCAGCACACCCTGAAGCTTCGGGTCCTTGCACAGCCCGTCACCCACTCCCGGTCCCTGGGGAGAGAGAGGGTGGTGGCCAGGCCAACGGGGCACCCCCGGGGCTGCCCAGCCCTGCAAAGGGCTGCTCGTCCCTGCAGCTGGCTGGCTGCTTGTATTTGGAAACTCATTGCTGTGTTTGTCAGATAGTGAAAACCCTGACCTGAGGGGCCTGCGGATTGGTTTTTCTCTTTGTTTCAGAACCACAGCCGCACGAAGTTCTTAGGCGGGATCTCATGGAAAATGCTACCCACTGTCCAAAAATCCAGGTATGGAAATTAACATCTGACAAACTAGGTTCAGATTTGGTTGGACCTCTACCGGCATGAAGGTAAGTGCAAAATAGGATTTATTAGGACTAGTCACATGGGAAGTTGCCTGTAACAGCACTTTGAAATTTTGCATACGCCCTTGGTTGGTATTAGAAAGCTTGTTTTTAGGCAATGATTACAAATTCTTTGTCCACACATATTGTGTATCCCCCTTTTTCTCAGAATTGTAGCTTGAATGTTATGTCTGGTAACTTTCCTAAGAGAATAGTTCAACGAGTGGGCAAACCAGAGTGTGTGTCTTTGGAAGTAGCGAACAAATATAGTCCAAGATACCAGATTAGGTAGCACTGTCCTCCCATTGTTCATCAATTTGCTCGAGCGGGCACCAGTTATGTCTTCATTGTGAGACTTGTTGTTACTGTTTTTGGCATATCGAATACGCCACAGGGAGCTTGCCAGGCTTTGCTGTGCGGGCAGGATACTCTCGGTAGCTTGCCGGGCTCTAGGAGAGGGATGGAGGAATCGAACCTGGGTCGGCCACGTGCAAGGCAAACACCCTACCCGCTGTGCTATCGCTCCAGCCCCACCAGATTTAGGTAGAAACCTAAAACGTGTCCTAGGAGGAACAGGGTATGGTACCGTGGGCCTTCTTAGAAAGAACAGTAGGATGAAGGATGGGGTGATGTGTCAGGCAAAGGATCCCAACATCAGGAAAGTTTAAAAATGTTCTCTGCGGGGAGGGGGGAATCACCTGGAAACGAAGGGAAGGTGAGTGGAATAATTCCAAAAGTGTGAATCCAGGGAAGGCAGGAGTCATCCTGGAAGGGCAAGTGCACTATTCAGTGACCTACACCTGCACCTCCCGTCCAGCATTCTCTGTCCCGCAGTCCCTCAAGTGCATGCCTGTGCTGGGACTAAGATGCCAGCACTCGGCCCGTGTCCGCATACTGGACATGCAGGCGGCTCCAGTGTCGTACACGGGAAGCCTGGGATTGCGGTTCCCATCGTCCTGGCAGTGCTAGCAGTGGACGTTTCCCTGGAAGGAGAGGCTATGAGAGCCCAGTCCTTCCCGAGGGTGGGTCAGCCTCTAGGAGCAAAGGGCACAGACCCGTCTTCTCTGAGAAGACATAAGTGTTACTATGCTGTACCCCTCAAAAATGTGAACAGTACAAAGCACTGGCCAGCCTGTCCTGGATTGTCTTCCAAAAGATGAAGGAAGGGAATGGCGCTCGTTGCTTATTTGTCAGGAATAACCGATTAAAGACGGAGGCAAAAATCCAACGTTCAGAACTCTCGGTAGAACACGTAACAGTGCCCGTTTGTACAGTGTGCTGTCACCGACGCCTCCAGAAGGCCACCTCGAATCAGAACCAGCAGGAATGAACAGAGAGAGAGAAGGACAGAGGCAGATTTGGGGGATGGAGCACAGGGGTTGACCCTGAGGGAAACTGAAGCACTGTTGGTGGGAAGGTGGGAGATGTGCGTTGGAGAAGCAGAGACAGGTGTTGGAGCATGTTTTGACCGAGACTCCATTGTGAACAGCTCTATTACTCTGTCATGGTGATTCTTTTTTTTTTTTTAAGTCTTCAAAAATGAATTTCAAAAATTGAAGTTTCACTGTCTAGTGGCAAGGAATTGCCAAACCTGTGTTTTCGTGTTCACACATTTTTCTTACGTTTTGATTTATACATAGAATCGTAGCTTTATAAAAACTTGCTATTGATTTCTATTTCCATGGCAATGACTATTAGATTATAGTCGCGGTCTAGTACACTCAGGTTGTACTAGTTTCTTTTGAATATCATATTTATGGGAGGCATCACACCAGGGGCTACCTGGTAGAAAGATCTGTAAAATAAAGTTGCTGTCCCATGGAAATGTAAAAGAGATGAGACAGAATCCCAAATAGCTATATAACGGGCATATTATTTCCATCTTATGAACCTAGAAACCCTGTGTGGGAAAAGAAATGGAGCCGTAGAACCTGAGGGTGTCAGATGTCCTCCGAGTGCCGAAGTAGCCAGGGTAGGAAACCCAGGGGCCTCACGAGGGGCGGGAGGTGTGATGAGGAAGGGAGCCATTTGGGGGGAGAAGGAGACTGGAGACCATCCGCTGCATGTGAGGTCTTCAGAGAAGCAATGGGGAAGCATTAGGCAGCTTCCACGCTCTGCAGCCTGGGAAGGGCTAGGGTCAGAATTTGGACTGGATTTAATAATTTGCTCAGTTTCTTCAGAAGAATTTTGTATTTTGAATAGCCTGAAAGGGGCTGGAGGGTAGGGTGTTTGCCTTGCATGCGCCAACCTGGGTTCGATTCCCAGAATCCCATATGGTCCCCTGAGCACCGCCAGGAATAATTCCTAAGTGTATGAGCCAGGAATAACCCTTGTGCATCACCGGGGTATGACCCAAAAAGCAAATGAATAAATAAATAAATTGCCTGAAAGCAATTATTTCTCGCTTCTTCACCCATTGTAAGGTATCGTGTTAGACTCAGGGATTAGGATCGTTCGCGGATGGTGCCCCGCCGTCATGATGTGGATTGAAGGGAAAAGAACTATTGCAGGAACTTAGAATCCATGGGTGTGAGGCCAGTGAGAGGTTGAATCTTTATTTTGCAAAACATGACCCGTCCTCAGCCATCAGTCATAGCATTGATAGTTTGCTTTTATTGTGCTTCTATAGAATCTCGAAAGAAATTTGAGAAATAATATTTTTCAACTTCAAAGTAATTAGTTGCTCCAGAAAGCTCTTTGACTGGTGGTTGAACAGTGGAAAACTGAACTATCACTTCTCTCTTACCTCATTGCCCACCCCGTGTTCCGGCCGCCCCTGCTCCACCCCGGGCCCTTCCTTCCCTGTGCCCAGGACTCGGCCCCCGCAGACCGAGGCACTGCTGATGCGCTGGCTCTGCGCCTCCCGTCTCCTCTCTGGGCCTTTCCAGCCACCGGGTCCCTATCGAGGGCCCGCTGGAGCCACAAGCATCCTTGGGTTTTGCCTTTGCAGAACTGACTTTTCTCACGCTGCTGAAGGGCCTGTCAGAGGTGCCTTGGTTAACCAATGGTTTTCTGCATTTAAAAAAATTTTTTTTAATGTAGAGCTAAGATTAAGAGTTTTTGATGTTTTAGGAGTTACGCCAAACGTTTTTTATATATCAGTCCTATTTTTTTTTATGTAGGAGTACTGCTATTTATTCAGCCACTGATTAGCTGAATGAATTGTGTGTGAACGAACTCCACCTTACTTTTTTTTTTTTCATTTTTTATAATTTTATTTATTGAATCACCGTGAGAGCAGTTACAAAGCTTTTGGGTCTAAGTCTCGGTCATACAATGAAACACCCGTACCTTCAACAGTGCCCATTCTCCACCACCCAAAACCCCAGCATACCCCCATCCCACACCCTCCCCCTGCCTGTGGGGCAGATGATTTCCACATTACTCTCTCTCTACTTTGATCACATTCAATATTTTGATACCAGGCCCACCATTATTATTTGAGATTTACCCCAACACTCAGATCTGCTGAAAAGGCAACAGTAGACAATTTGTGTCCTATTGCTGGTTATGAATAACATATGATGTTGCGTGGCTGCAGTAGGGCCATGTGATTTTGAAATTCCGAAATTTTAACACTTAAATCTGGAGGGATTTCTGCCAAAAGCCTCTGGGCTTCTAGATTTGTTTCTGAGTCTCTGGGATCGTGGCCGTTAAGCAGCTTGATCAGGAGCCAGAGATGCTGTTCGTGGGCGATGACTTGGGGTCTCGTTGGGGTGGGGAGGACAGGCCCAGCTCCTCCCCCATCCCGTGAGGCCCAAAATGTCTTGTCACTGCAGGCCCAGACCTGACTGTCCAGTGGCCTCTGGAGGATGACGGCCACTGAGCCGCCAAGGGGGAGCAAGCAGAGGGACAACACCCTTTTTCCCCTGGGGTGGCCCGGCGACAGTAACCTGCTGCGGGCTCCGGACGCATTTCTGCCAAAAGCCGCTGGGTTTTGAGATTTGTTTCTGAGTCTCTGGGTATGAGTCCTATTTTTAAGAAACCTTTCAGACATATTAAATAACAGTATCCTCGTATCACTAGAAGAGTATAAGAGCTTGCCTGTGCCGCCATTCTCAGCTGTGTCCCTGCTCTCCTGTTTGTCAGGTGTTCTGGGTCTTTCAAGGAAATAAAATCTCGTAGAAGGGTGAGTCTGTGCGCCTCTTCCCTCACTGTGTGCCCGCCCCGGTCTGACTGCCCACCATCAAGAGTCCTTGTCAACACTAGCTTGTCAACACTACATATGCTCGGAGCCAGAATAATTTTATTATTTGACAAGTTTCAAAACTTAATTGATGGCACACAGTGTGTAAGTTTTTGCAACTGTGCCCTCTTTACTCAACCTTATTTTGTTCTGTTTTGTCTTGGGGCCACACCCGGCAGTGCTGGGGATGCTACTGGCAGGGCTTGGGGAACCGACCGTACAGGGTGCTGGAGGTCGAACCCAGGCCGGCTGCGTGCAAGGCAGATGCCCTTCCCGCTGGACTGTCTCTCCAGCCCATCAGCCTCCTTTCCTAAGTTGCAGTAGGTTGTGCACTAGGTTGTGCAGCAGCGGGTTGTGCACAGTGATCCCTGTTAGCCGCATTGTTACTGTAACCCGGTTCCTTTACCCATTGTATTAAAGAGCACTTCGGTTTGGTCTAGTGCTTTCATTCATTACAATGTTCTTAAACACCTTTTTTCTTTTTCTTTTTGGGTCACACCCGGCAATGCTCAGGGGCTCCTCCTGGCTCTGCACTCAGGAATCACTCCTGGCAGTGCTCGGGGGGCCCTATGGGATGCTGGGAATCGAACCCGGGTCGGCCGCGTGCAAGGCAAACGCCCTACCTGCTGTGCTATGACTCTAGCCCCTTAAGCGTGTTTTTGACTATGTTTTCATTCCACCCCTGAGGGTTTCCCTGAGGTGGCATACTCCAGAAGTTGGCCTGTTCTCCTCTTCAAGTTCGCTAGAAATCGCCAGAGAGCTGTGTGAGGTGGAGGCGCTCTTGGTTCCGGTTCCCCGGGGAGGAGGAGGCGCCGTGGGGAGCGTTGGCGTGACTGTCGCAGCGTTGCCAGGCTCTGGCCTTTGCCAGCACGGCTGCTGTAAACGACACCTCACCCTTGTTGTGTTTGTGTTTCGCTCCCTGTTCAGGAGGTCACGTTTGTTTTATTTGTCCATGCTCTTGGATTCTCTATTCTGCGTTTTGCTTGTGAGTACACACAGAAAGCTTTTGATTTGTGACTTCTCACTCACCTTGTTTATAACTTTGTTGTAGCGATGTTTGATGTTGGTGGCGTCCCCGGGACCAGGGCCTGACCATTGTGCCCCAAGAAGTCCTTCCCGCTGGGTCCATGCTGCCTGTTTCCCTCTCGATGAACAGTGCCAGGCTCCAGCATCCCCTGGGCAGTTGGTACCTCACCACTGCCAACACCCATTTTCCGTTTTAAAAAAGTAAACACGGGGCTGGAGAGACAGCACAGCGGGTAGGGCATTTGCCTTGCACGCAACCAACCCAGGTTCGATCCCCGGCATCCCATATGGTCCCCTGAGCACCGCCAGGAGTAACTCCTGAGTGCAGAGCCAGGAGTAACCTCTGTGCATCGCCGGGTGTGACCCCAAAAGCAAAAAAAAAAAAAAGTAAACCCAACGTCTGTACTCAGGCGGGTATGTAGAGAAATGAGAACTTGAATGAACTTATTTTAAGATACAATATAGGAAGTTGTATTCACGCGGAGACCCAGAGCACCTTCTTCCATGATAGACCAAACTGGAAACAACCCCGCTGCCCTTCAGTGGACGAGTGGTCAAACTGGATGTGCTTTCCATGTCATAATCTAGCAATAAAAAAGAATTATTAATATATGCAACAGTTGTCTACGAGATCATGCTGAATAGGGGGAAAGCCAGTCCTAGAAGGTTTTATACTTGGTACTTGATTGATTCCATGTCTGTGACATTCCCAAATGACAGAAGTTATAAAACTAGAGAACACCATGGTTTCCAGGGTGAGGGTGTGGCTGTCACAGGAGGTGATATGGGGTCCTTGGACCAGGCAGTTGTGTGTTAATCAATCGTCTCCACTGTGATGCTGTTACGATCTTGGTGCAAAGGAAAGTGGTCTTCATGTCAACTGAACAGCCTTCAAATTGATTAAGCTGATTAGTCTTCACATCAATTCCCGAAACACCCACTAGGAAACCGCGCAAAAGACGTGGCTGGCACTTTGCAAAAGTGTATGAAAAGAAAAAGTATTCGACTTCGTTTCCAGATAAGGACCAACCCAAACCAAGCGAGACACTGCTCCGTGCCCACCGCTCACACAAAAGGCTTCATTCCAGGGTTGGCAGGACGCCAGCAGCATTTGTCCTGCCTGTGGACGCGTAAACGGGCACAATCTCTTTAGAAGATGGCCCAGTCCCTGTTCAAACTGAGTGCAGCCCGGGAGTCAGCGGTCTTCTCCCCAGGGTGCATTCTGCAGAAAGAACAGCGCTGTTCGCAAGAGCCAAAGACTGAGAAAACGTCCACGTGGCAGCAGAAGGCTTCTGAACATGCAGCATGCTCGCAAAGACAGAAGAAACGAACCCAAAATCACGAGAATGAATCCCACAAACCAGCCATTTATAGCAAAGGTCCTTTATGATCCCCCTCCTATAAATCCCCGGAGTGGACAGTGCTGCTCCCTGGTGCTAGACGGCTGGAGGATGGACAGGGACAGGGGAGAGCATGGGGAGGGTTCTCCCGGAAGCTGCGTCGGAGAGAGTCTGCCGGCTGGCCCACAGAGCAGAGGAGGCAGCCCGCTCCTGGGCCTCTAGTACTGCCCGCCCAACCCCGGGGCTCTAGTACTGCTGCCCCCCCCCCCCCCCCCCCGGGCCTCTGGCCTCTGTCCTGACTGAGCAAGCGTGTTTTCTGACCTTCAGCTCATTTTCAGTGAAGTGATTGCAACAGTTTGTGTTTCTTTTGCGTATGGGTTCTGCCTTTTATTATTATGGGATCTGAGCATTTTCTTCTTATTGTGGGTTATTTAGGAAAGCTGTCTCTTAAGTTATGGGACATATCTGGCCTTATATTTGCTAGATTATGTGTAGACTTTTCTAGGTAAATGATCGGATTGTTTTTTAACCTAATACCATTTCTACCCACCCACTTTCCCTGAACAAGTCGCATTGACTAGAAATTCTAATACACATTCAAGTGTGGCTGTGTTGGTGAGAATCTTGTACTGTTACAGAATTTGAAGCAGTACTTTAGGTGTTTTCTAATGTCCCATCATAAAGAAGAGAGTCGGGGGCCTGGAGCCATAGTACGGCAGGTAGGGGCTCACCTTGCATGCGACGGGCCCTGCATGTGTTCCCCTGAGCTCCCCAGGAGTGATTCCTGAGCTCAGAGCCACTAGTAAATCCTGAGTACCTCCAGGTGTGGGGGAGAAAAAAAGAATATAGTTGGCGTAGACTTCTATAGGTATATTCTTTATCAAATTGTTGGTTGTAGAGCTGGATTGTTTAATGCAAGAAACCATACCTTTAACAGTATTATAAACTACAGTGCCTGAAACAAAAGATGTTTTTTCTGAAGACAGTACTTATTATTTCTTAGCCAGAAATCTTAGAAACAATAAGGAAGTTTGACAAGGGGGGCAGAGTGCTAGTCCAGAGGTTAGAGCATTTGCCTTGCGTGCAGCCGACCCGGGTTTGATCCCCAGCACCCCACATAGCCCCCCAAGCCCACCAGCAGTGTTTCCTGAGCACAGAGCCAGGAATAAGCCCTGAGAACTGCCAGGTTTGCCCCCCAAGAAAAAAATTTTTTATAAAATTTGATAATTAATATGTGTGTTAGGGCTGGAGCGATAGCACAGCGGTAGGGCGTTCGCCTTACAAGCGGCCAACATGGCCGACCCGAGTTCGATTCCTCCGCCCCTCTCGGAGAGCCCGGCAAGCTACCGAGAGTATTCGATATGCCAGACACAGTAACAACAAAGTCTCCAATGGAGACGTTACTGGGCCCGCTCGAGCAAATCGACGATCAACGGGAGGGCCTTTACCTTTTTACCTTACCTTAATATATGTGTTAGAGGGCTGGAGAGATAGCACAGCGGTAGGGCGTTTGCCTTGCGCACAGCCAGCCTGGCTGAAACGGGTTCGATTCCTCCGCCCCTCTCAGAGAGCCCAGCAAGCTACTGAGAGTGTCTCACCCGCACGGCAAAGCCTGTCAAACTACCCGTGATGTATTTGATATACCAAACACAGTAACAACAAGTCTTACAACAGAGACATTACTGGGCCCGCTTGAGAAAACCAGTGAACAACAGGAGAACAGTGACAGTGATGTGTGTTAGAATTTACCAGACTCACTTTTAACACCAATTGAGATGCTAAGTTTTTCTTTTATAAATGACATTATAGACTTGTGTGTGTTTATAAAATGTGTAGTTGCATTTAATTTTAAACTGCTGCCTGTTTTGGCTAGAATGATGGGAAAGAACATTTTAAGATGCAATGTTTCTGTTCCAGAAAGCGGTCTTCAAAGGTGATGGAGCTGACACGTTAGAAATCTCAATGACTGACCAGAGGTGAGGGGATCGCTGGAAAATAGTATTTTCGTAATTATTGTTAAAGTCTGCCTGTTCGTGGCCCCGTGTGCATAGGTGTTCTCTGTCTGGAGGAATCGTCCTCGTTATTGCACTGTGTCTGGAAAGACTTTGCCTGTCTCCACGGCGGCCTCAGGGCTGCCAGTGTGCAGTGGACATGCCCAGACATCCCCCTCATCCCATGAGGCACAGGCCCACCCACAACATAGACCCCACAGGCCAGGCTATCCCCGCGCTGAGGCTGCGAACACTTGGTTTTGGAGAAGGGAATGCTGATTCCTCGGGCCAACACAACCTTCAGGCTGCTGTGCAATTTGTTTCCCTTCGTGTCTGGCAAACTCCCCGTGACGTATTCAGTATGTGCCAAGCACCGTAACAACAAGTCTCAAAATGGAGACGTTACTGGGCCCACTGGAGCAAATCAGTGAACAGCGGGAGGATGGTGGCAGTGACAGTGTCTGTTAAACAGAATGCGCCCAATTTTTTTTAAAATTTTTATTTATTTTTTTATTTTGAATACCCATCCCTCCACCAGTGCCCATTTCCCACCAACACGGATCCCAGTATCCCTCCCACCCCCCCATCTCCCCCATCCCACCCTGCCTCTGTGGCAGGGCATTCCCTTTTGTTCTCTCTCTCCTATTGGGTGTTGTGGTTTGTATAAGAGTTAAGCCTGATTTTCAGGGAGAAACGTTGGATAATTTACTTTCCATTGATCACTTTGTATATAAGGAGATGTCGCGTGGCCGCATAAAAGTCCTGGTTCCTGCATGCCCGAGCTATGCTTGTAGGGGCTCATGGTCACCGGGGTTCCATCTGGAGAAGGTGAATGTGGCACCTACCCCATCTGGGACTTCCCGGTGATCTCGGCTCTGTTTGGGACCGGGAGCTCTGGAGCCTCTCAGCGGCCTTTTTTCTCTGGTCCTGTGTGCTGTAAGATGCGCCCGGTTTTTATTGTGGTTTTCTTTTTTCTCTTAGTTTTGCTCCTCTTGTTGCTGAATATGAAAACTATCAACGAGAGCTAACTATGCAGCTGCAGTATCACCAGGTATAAAATCATAATTTCCAAAGCCGTCATCATATTTTTATTAATAGAAAAAGAAAAAGTGAGTTATATATTTAGCTGTAGCCATTCAGTTCTTGGTCGGGGTGTGTGTGTGTGTGTGTGTTTGTGTGAGCTATTTTAGCTCTTTTGTCTCGTCTGTCCTTGCTCTTCTGTCTGGCAGAGCCATCTCTTAATTATTGTTTGTTTACATCCTATTTTCCCCTGGAAAAATCCCAGACCATCTCACGTCCTTTTAGAAGGTTTTTATTGTGTTTATTCGACGTCAGCAGGTTTCCCCTCTAACTTCCAATAGTGTGTCTGTTGGGTTCTAGATGCCGTTGGTCTGCCCTGGACTTGAGCTGTAGTGGTTCTTCTGAAACCGCTCGGCCTGAGGTTTCCGGAGTGTGGGAGTTGGCAGAAAAGTGGGTGTCTGTGCAGTAGTGTCGGGGCAACAAGTGAAGGAAGACTGAGGGGCGTCAGGGAAGGACTTGTGGAGACGGCCCCCTGGCCGCTCCCCTCCACGTGGGGTGGGAAAGAGAAACCATCTCTCCCTCTCTCCTCATCCTTCACAGCAGAAAAAGGCCTCCCTCCCCTACCCAAACCTTCCTCCACCTGAGTCAGCGCTCAGTTTTTGCTGCTCAAATACGTGCCAGGCAGAGTTGGAGGAGATGATGGAGGTAGCTGCTTAGTGGTCTCCTATTCACTGATCGGTGAGTGCTGTGTCTCTTGACCAAAGGAAGGATGCCTTCCATCTTCTGGAACTAAAGTTTGGCTCTTCATTGCATTGGGAGTTTCTCATGCTCTCATTTCCGAGGTTAATTCTCTAATAAGAGGGGCTGGAGCGATAGCACAGCGGGTAGGGCGTCTGCCTTGCACGCAGCCAACATGACCGACCCAAGTTCGACTCCTCCGCCCCTCTCGGAGAGCCCGGCAAACTACCGAGAGTATTCGATATGCCAGACACAGTAACAACAAAGTCTCCAATGGAGATGTTACTGGGCCCGCTCGAGCAAATCAATGAACAACGGGAGGACCATGAGCACTTCTGTCAACCCACATTTCAAAGACAAGCATTTCTTTTCACTGCTGTTTTGATTTGGTAATACACCGTTTCCTAGAGTACTCCTAGGTGTACTCGTTTAAAGCCTGTGGTCATTTGCAACAGCGGTGATAACGTCTTTTAACTTGTCAATTGACAGAGAACAACAGAAAGCTCTCCTTTGCACAAAGGGCATTTTGCTTCCTTTTTCGGTTTAGGGAAAGTAGAGTTTCTACCGAATTCTTTCTCTCAGAATTGCTATGAGGTTTGATATAAAATGGAATAGTTATCTTGAAATTAAACTTGTTATGATTTATCTGATTCAGGTATCTCCTTAATCATCCATTGTGATAGATATTTAATGGTTGGCATTTTTGCAACTTTTTTTTTAATTGTCACATGTAATTTGCTGGGGAAATGCAGTGAGCAGTTGGTTTTGTTTGATTGTTATTTGTATTTTGGCTTTTTGAGTCACACCTGGCAATACTCAGGGATTACTCCTGGCTGTGCTCGGGGGACCATATGGGATGCTGGGAATAGAATCCCAGTTAGCCGTGTGCAAGGCAAACGCCCTCCCCGCTATACTATCACTCTGACCACCGAGTCTCTCCCTGTGCCTGGAGGACTGTTTGCTCCTCGCTTGACCTCAGGGACGGCAGGACCCCGGGAAGCTGCCCCCGTGTCCAGCTGGAGTCAGAGTCCACGGCTTCCTGCATCCTCCCACAAGGGCCTGGAACGTCGCCCACGCCACGGCCTTTGCCAGCTTCTCCCCGGGCCTGACCGCACCAGGACGAAAAGTGGGCTTGCCCAGTCCCGGTTCCCGGGCACATCCTGCGGCCTCCTGCCCTTCACGCCCCTCACTCTGCCCGCGCTCCTGCTGGCACCCTCACCACTTCCTTCCCCTCTTTTGCTCCTGCTTCCTCCTCCTCGAAAGGCTCCTTCTTCCCTATAAAAATTGTGCAGTTTATCTTCTGAGAGAGAATTCATTGTACCTTCATCTCCTTCCCTCTGTGGTCTGTATTCTACGCTTCTTCAGTCTGGTGGTTTTTCTAGAAGCTTCTTTCCTGTGACAGTTTATGTTAGTGGCCATCTTGGCTCACTGTGGCAGCCAGGTGGGTGATAGTTTAATAATAAAGGAGGTGATTCAGGTATAGTGAATAAATTACTGCTAAAATAAAGTCTTTTCTGCATTAATGGTGTACTTCTTGTAATGCAAACACTCATAGGGGCTTCACTTAAGCTAAAGTGAATTAAGAGAGACACTTAAGGAGAGGGATCATCTGGTATTTCCTGAGGAATACCTTTTATTTGTTTTTCTATAACTATCTATAAATCATAGGAATTACATTTATAAAGTATTCTCAATGTATCCTGCAACATTTTTTATGATCTTAAAAATAAATGTTTTATTGTGCTCTGTGTATCATAAAATATCCATATTTCATATGACGTGTTAGAAGGAAAGAATAATTATTAACAAGTCTTGTAGAATCTGATTTCTTGCATATAAGTGAACGATCTCATATAGATCTAATTGTCAGAAAAATGATGCGGCAACCATATTTATTCTTCCAGGAAGAGCTGGGGAAAATGAAAGTACAGCTTGAAAGTGTCATCAAGGAGAATGAAAGGTAGGGCCTTTGCCATGGGCTCCTCTTTCTCTTGCGGGCTCTTGTCTGTAGGTCTGAGTGTGTGTGGCCGGAGTGTGTGTAGTCTGAGTGTCCGTGTTCTGAGTGTGTGTGGTCTGAGTGTTTGTGTTCTGAGTGTGTGTGGTCTGAATGTCTGTGGTCTGAGTGTCTGTGTTCTGGTTGTGTGTGTTCTGAGTGTCTGTTGTCTGAGTGTCTGTGTTCTGAGTGTGTGTAGTCTTAGCGTCTGTGTTCTAAGTATCTGTGTTCTGAGTGTGTATGGTCTGAGTGTGTGTGATCTGAGTGTCTATGTTCTGAGTGTGTGTGGTCTGTGTGTGTATGGTCTGAGTGTCTGTGTTCTAAGTGTGTCTGGTCTGAGTGTGTGTGTTCTGAGTGTCTGTGTTCTGAGTGTCTGTGGTCTGAATGTCTGTGGTCTGAGTGTCTGTGGCCTGAGTGTGTGTGTTCTGAGTGTGTGTGGTCAAGCATCGGTGGCCTGAGTGTCCGTCCTCTCAGCAGACCCCTGCTGGCAGGCCAACCTGACATTTTCTAATCCTGACGTTTCCTAATTTGTTCTGTCCTGACTACTAATTCTGAGGCCTGGTTCTTTTCTCTTGTGATTGGGACGAGCAGATCAGCTACTTGGGGCCTTAGATGACAAGTGCTCGAGTGAAAATGAGGAAAATGTTTATGTTCACACATGATCTTGTATCTAGTCAGCCATGCTGTGAAAGGTCATTTTAAATCTTACCTGTGATTCTCAGTTCCTGCTGCGTAAATGTCACTTCGACTTTCATTGCGGCTCATGCTGTAAGCTTTCTGGAGTTTGAGCTACAAGAAAGAGATGAGCTGAGGATAGCGGAGAGAGGCAGCCAGTGGAGAGGTCTGCGCGACCGGTGTTCTGAAATCAGCCAGGTCAGAGGGGCCCGGAGAGCAGGAGTTTGGGCGGCTCTCCAGGAACCACACAGGGCACTACCAGGACCCGTGACCATTCAGACAGGCGGGGACAGCAGGCACGCCCACTGCCCGGACTCAGACATGTCAGGCCAGAAATGACACAGCTTCTTTAGCTGCACTGTCAGTGGCACCTGGCATAGAAAGGAACTGAAATCTAAAATGAAAAGGTGGTTAAAACCAGCCACTTGTCAAACCGGAGTGTTTCCAGTGTCGGCACCTGAGGTAATCTGACAGGGAAAAATTGGGATTAAAAACTAGACAGTCTTAAAAAAAAAAAATTGACAGAACCCAAATCTGCCTAAACAAATTGGAATCAGTTCTAGAACATCAAGAGGAAAGAGGGACCCAGGGGCTGAACCTGCACTGAAGCTGCTCCCTGCCAGCCAGAGAGGGCCTGGGGTCTCGGTCACAGTGCCATGGGAGGTGGGGTGGGGGAGAGAGAGAGAGGTAGAAAGAGAGAGAGAGAGAGAGAGAGGGCTCCGGAGCTAGGCCACAGTGCCACAGAAAGAGAGAGAGGGAGAGAGAGAGAGAGAGAGAGAGAGAGAGAGAGCGAGCGCGAGAGAGCGCCTGGGAGCTCGGCCACAGTTCCACGGCAGAGTCTCAGCATCTCAGCTCCCCGGACGCTGTGTGCTGTCAGGGACTGAACTCATGTCTCCTGTACTCAAAGCATGTGCCCCAGCCGAACCATCACAGAGAAAGTTCACACCCATGCTAGGCTAAAGAGTGCTGTCTAGCAATCGCCTAACATTAGGTAACCCTGATTTCTTCTTTCAGTGTAGTATGTAATGGTGATGAAACTCTTCCATGTTCAAGGACTACTGAAAATGTCTTTGGGCCCTGATGTTTACTTAATTGAACCTTAAACCGTAGTTTCTATTACTGAAGTAAATTTGAATGATTATTATGTTAATTCCAAAGGTTGCACAGTGAGTTAAAGGATGCTGTTAAGAAGCAGCTGGAGGCTCTGCCGTTTGACGAGGAGGTGGGGAGTGACATATATGCCGACGACGAGACAGTGAGAAATCTCCAGGAACAGTTACAAGTAGCCAATCAAGTGAGTGGTGTATTTTAAAGAACCATAGCCTAAATGAACTTAGTTTTTAAGAACCTGCATTCATCTGGATCTATGAATTTGTGTTTCTGGTATCAAAATTAATATTTCATGCGTTCCTGTGGGTTGCAAATAGCCAACGAGTAGGTTCCACCACGTGACGTCATCACTCGTCACACCAGAAACCTGTGTGCGTCAGGGGGTGAGAGTGGGAAAGGCAAACCAGGCCTTCATAGGAATGTCCTCCTGACCTTGGGACCTGTGGCACCCCTGGGAATTTCCATACTGGGAGAGTGGTCCAAGATGTGAGAGAATTCTCTTACGAAATGCAGGGAGGAAGCAGGGCGAGGAAGTAGCATGCCACGTGCTTCCCAGTGTGGCTGAAGGAAAGAAATGCAAAGATCTTCCTCCAGTTCAGGTGTGTAGGCCAGGGATGGACCGCAACAGTAGAGTACTTGCCTTGGATGTGTGAAGTGCCAGTTCAATCCCTGACACCACTGAAAATAAAAAATATATACCAGTCATGGGGCTGGAGCAATAGCACAGTGGGTAAGGTCTTTGCCTTGAACGTAGCCAACCCAGGTTCGATTCCCAGCATCCCATATGGTCCCCTGAGCACCACCAGGGGTGATTCCTGAGTGCGCAGCCAGGAGTAACCCCTGTGCATCGCCAGGTGTGACCCAAAAAGCAAAAGAAAAAAAAATATATATATATACCAATCATGTTATAAATATGACTGTGTCCAACATCAGTGAAGATTACAGATGTTAGCAGGATCTACTATCAGGTGGTAAAAGTACAGGTAGTTTATACTTTCTGTATTTCTTTTGTATTTTCATAACTTTCTAAAATATTTATTACTTTTGCAATCACAGAAAAGTCTTATATGTCGCCAAGAAGTATTCTTCTTCAGTAATTTCTAATGCTTACACTGTCTTGTTGGACAAGGAGAGTGATTTAATCCATATTTTTCATTATTCAGAGCTTTTATTCTTACCTATGAAATCTGAATAAAAAATTTTTCAGAGGAATTTTACTCTTTAGATTTATTCTTAAATTTAATATTCATAAAACAATATCACCACAGGCATTCTAGACTGCCATGTTTACTTCTCTATTTTGTGACTTTCGGTGAACTCATTTGATAAGCCTGCTGATAATTGAGTGAGTTCTCCAATGTCTTTTTTCATAGGAGAAGAATCAGGCCGTGGAACTCTGGCAGACTGCTTCACAGGAACTGGAGCGACTGCAGAGACTTTACCAGGAATATATGACCAAGACCCAGATCCACGTTGCAGAAAGTCAGAAGCGAGAGGTAATATTGCATGTCATGGGGGGCTGGAGTGATAGCACAGCAGGTAGGGCGTTTGCCTTGGATGCGGCCGATCCGGATTCGATTCCCAGCATCCCATCTGGTCCCCTGAGCACCGCCAGGAGTAATTCCTGAGTGCAAAACCAGGTGTAACCCCTGAGTATCGCCGGGTGTGACCCCCCCAAAAAAAATTCATGTCATGGTTTTCTTGTCAGTAAGAAATTGCACTCTGGAGGAACTCAGCTGTGAATGGAATACCAGAATCTCTGTTTTACTTGTCTTAACAGTAAATAGATGTTTGACAGTCAGAGATGTCTTGACCAGGTCATTAAAGGGTCAGTGTAGACTGGGCGTCACAGTGTACAGACCTCTCAGCATTGTGCCACTGGCGCACAAGTGTTCCAGAGAGTCATAACAGAATCAGGCTATCCAGAACCTAGAATACTCAGGGCGCATTCCTGGCTCTGCTCCAGGTCTCTCCTGGGGATACTTCGGGGTCCCCTGTGGTGCTGTGAATCAAGTCCCAGCCTGCTGCATGCAGAGCAAGCGCCCTCCCCACTGCACTGTCTCACCTCCTGAATCCATGAGGATTTCAAAGAAGGGCCAGAGCCATTATCTCCCTGCCGTGTTGGCATTCAGGCGTTCAGTACATTTGAATGTGATTTTCCAGTATTTGACGAAGTCTGATAGGATTTCTAGAAATATGGTTCTACATGACGCATAAATAGCTATGTTACTTTCAACAGTGGCGCCTGACTGAATTTTGTAATTATTTAGACTTCATCTTCAACTCTCAAGCACATAGTAGTAATGAGAAGAAATACAAATGATTTCATCTAGACGTGGACAATGATTTCAGACTAATTCTGTTTAAAATTAAAGAGGGAAGGGGCATAGCTAGAGTGATAGCATGGTGGCACAGCATTTGCTTTGCATGTGACAAGTTCAGTCCCCCAGCATCCCATGTGGTCTGTCCCCTGAACACCACCAAGAGTGGTCCCTGAGCACAGAACCAGGAATAAGTCCTGAACACCGCTAAGTATGGCCCCAGAACAAACAAACGAATTTTTTAATGGTTGCAGATAAGATTATGAGTTTCCTTCTCTTTCTTCTGTAGGACCAGCTGACCAACTTCCAACAACTGACCCAGCAACTCCACGTTACGAATGAAAACATGGAAATGGTAAGCGGAGAGAGGTGTGTATTAGGGTTAGTGAGAAATGCCGTCATGAGAGTAAAGTTCATGTATGCTGATGCAGATCAGCAATGACCAGGTAGCATGAGGCCAGGTCTGCGGTCTGCAGCGCTCTCTCTCGCGCGCTCGCTCTCTCTCTCTTCACTCCACTCTCTCTCCCTCTCTCCCCTTTACGCTCAGCAGCATGTGGTGCCATTTCTGAGAATCTAAGTCCTGCTCACACCTCCTCAGCATCGCCTGTGCTGAGCTCCTGATGTGAGCTGTCGTGTCTGGCACTGGCACACATGCCAGTGGGCTGGTTCCTTTACAGGAGAAGGACTTGGTGAGGTTGGAGCCGAAGTCTGGCAGGCTGAGTGCTTGCCTTGTGCACTGCCAACCCCGGGTTTGATCCACAGCACCAAACACTGTCCCCAGAGCCCTGACAGGAGTGAGTGCAGAGCCAGGAGTGAGCCCTGGGACCCTCCGGCATCACCCAAAAACCAGAACAAAACGAAGGATAAAACAACTGAGCCTGCAAATTCACAGCAGGAAGCTGCACTCAGAACAGAGCCATTTTGCTTCCGGGTCAGTCAGGAGCCCCCAAGCATGCAGCCGCAGTAGCAGCCATGCAATTCTTCACTTCATCCTATCTCACAAGAGGATATACCACCATTCCAACTCCAGTTACAACATAAAAAAAAAAACCTCCCAAATGCAAAAGTCAGTGGGAAGACAACACAGAACCCCAACACTCTTAGTCACCGACCTAACACCATGACACTCTTAGTCATGGTAGCCCTGAAGACTCAACAGTGACAACCAGTTTACAGGACCTCTCTGATAAGGACTTCAGAGAGGAAATGTCAAGGATATTTAAGGAGTTCAAGGAAATGGAGCGGACAGCCAGTAAAACACAAGAGGATATGAGAGTAAAAATGAGAAAACCGCAAGCAGAAAGGACAGAACTCAGGAATTTGGTAGGCGAAATGAAAAACTCACTGGAAGGCCTCAGCAGAGCAACAGTAGCTGAGAAGAAAATCAGTGAGCTCCAAGATGATATACGGAAAACAACCAGAGAACAGCATAAGATGGGGGGGGGGGGGGAATCACCCTCAAAATGAACAGCAGACGAGAACTCTGGGATAAATTCAAGAGGAACAGGGTCCCGGAAGGACAGGGAGACAACCCTTATGAAGAAACAACCATCAGAAACATCCTTGCTGAGAAGTTCCCAGAACTGGAGAGTGCAGTCACCCAGATCTGAGAAGCCCTCAGGGTACCCGCTAAAAGAGACCCTAATAAGGAGACTCCAGGACACATCCTAATCAGAATGATCAGAACGCCATAGAGATGAAATACTTAAAATAGCAAGACCAAAGAAGGAAATTACATAGATAAGATATACATTGATAAGATTTACAGGACACACAAACGAATCTCGGACCCGAGCAACTTGGTGCAGAGATGGCTCTGGACTTAGCAATAGGCCACTTTCGCCGGCCCACTCCAGTCAGGGGCAGGTGCCATCCCTCTGCCTGCCCTCCAGGAATCCCAGCGACCGTCATCTTCTAGAACTCAACAAAAAGCTCCAGGTATGGGTGGCGGTTGTGGCACACGCCTGGCCTCATGGGACAGGGGAGAATTCGGCCCTTCTCCTTCCCCCTGCCCTGATGGGTCTCTGAGATGACGCCCATATACGGCCACTACTTAACCTTCCACACAGCCATGATCCAGAGACACACAAACGAATCTCAGACCCAAGCAACTTGCTGCAGCGATCTCTCCAGACCCTAATTATTAAAATTTTAGAATTCCTAGAGCATGTGGCCACGTGCAACATTATATTGTATCCATAACAAGCAATACAAAACGCATTGTTTAGCATTTTCAGCAGGTATGAGTGGTGTTGGAACTGGTCTCGAAATATCAAAGGTAACCAATGTAGAGCGAGCACCAGTAATGTCTCCATTGTGAGACTTGTTGTTACTGTTTTGGCATATCAAATATGCCACAGGGAGCTTTCCAGGCTCTGCCATGTGGGCAGGATACTCTCGCTAGCTTGCTGGGCTCTCCAAGAAGGACTGATGACCCGAATTCAACTCCTCCGCCCCTCTCAGAGAGCCCGGCAAGCTACCGAGAGTATCTCGCCCGCACGGCAAAGCCTGGCAAGCTCCCCATGACGTATTCGATGTGCCAAACACAGTAGCAACAAGTCTCACAATGGAGACGTTACTGAGCCCACTCGAGCAAATCGATGAACAACAGGAGGACAGTGCTGCTGCTGCTAAGTATCGTGTCATCTGAAAATAGTTAGAGCTTGACTTCAACCAAAGTAGAGAAAGAGAGTATTGTGACATTGTCTGCCACACAGGCAGGGTAGGTGTGGAACTGGGAGGGTGGCGAGAGGGATACTGGGGATTTTGGTGCTGGAAAATGTGCACTGGTGAAGGGATGGGTGTTTGATGATTCTATGATCGAAGCTCAAACATGAAAACTTTGTTACTATACCTCACAGTGAATCAATAAAAAGGGGGGGAGGGTTAAAAAAAATGAAATTCACCAGGAATACCCATTTAGATTCTCATTCAGATTTGAAGGACAGTACACAAAATCATGGATAAACAACAGCTCAGAAACTTTATACATTTGAAACCATCTCTACAAGAAGAACTGAAACAAGACAAATTTCATATGCATACCAAATTCTATAGAAAGATGTCACAAATCTCCATTTCTCACTCAATGTCAAAGGCCTAAATGCTCTAGTTAAGAGACCCAGCGTGTCAGAATGGATTAGAAAGTTGAATCTAACCTGCTGCTGCTTACAAGAAACACATTTGAATAGTAAAGGCAGACAGACTCAAAGCCAAAGGTTGGAAAACAATGTTTTAAACAAACAACCCCCACAAAAAGTCTGGTGTGGCCATCATGATATCAGATAACATCAAATTCAGGACTAAAAATGTTATGAGACAGAGACTGCTTTTTCTTAATGATAGAGGAATATGTACATCAAGAAGAACTCATACTTCTAAATATATATGCACCTAATGAAGGAACAAGCAAAACAACTACTAATAGACTTGAAAAAAAGACATTGATTACACAATAGTTGGAGATTTCAACACCACTCTATCATGGCTTTTAATCCTCAAAAAGCAGAATGCACATTCTTCTCCAGTGCACATGGGACATTCTCCATGATAAAACCACATGCTAGGCCACAAAACTTCATAAAGTCAAGAGCATAAAAGTCATATCAACTATCTTCTCAGACCATAGTGCTCCAAAAATAAAAGTCAGCCACAAATAGAAACAGAGAAACAGCTCAAACACCTGGAAATTAAACAGCTCACTACTGAACAACCAGTGAGACAGAGAAAACTAAAAGATTCCTGGAAACAAATGAGAATGAGGACATGAGCTCCCAGAACTTGTAGGACACAGCAAAAGCAGTGTTAAGAGGGAAATTCATAGCTATGCAAGAATACATCAGGAAGAAAGGGCCCACATAAATAACATCACAGCTTGAGAAACTGGAAAATCACTAACAAAGGGGGCCGACAGCAGGGAGGAGGAAGGAAAAAGAAAGCTGCTTCTTTGAGTAAATAAGAGTAATAAGTCACTAACAATACTTACAAAGAATGAGAGAGAAAAAAAACCCTAATTGAATCAGGAATAAAATCACACAACAGATGCCTCAGAAATTCAAAGGATCATCAGAGATTACTTTGAAAATCTTGATGCCACTAACGGTGAGAACTTAAAAGAAATGGATAGGCTCTTGGAGTCCTGTAACTCTCAAGGCTGAAGGAAGGTCCTATAAACTCCCAAGATGATCTGAAATATCTGAACAGACCTATCACTATTGAGGAAATTGAAATGGTAATCAAAAGCCTACCCAAAAGCAAAAGCCCAGGCCTGGGTGGATTCCCTAGCGAGTTATTCCAAACCTTTAAAGAGGACCTACTGCCAACCCATATCAGGCTCTCCCAGGTAATCAACAAAACAGAAGCACTCCTAAACAGTTTCTACAAAGCAAATATTACCCTAATTCCAAAAGCAGATAGAGACAGCACAAAAAAAGGAGAATTACAGACCAATATCCCTGATGAACATAAATGCAAAGATCCTCAACAAAACACTGCCAAATCAAATCCAACAACTCATCAAAAAAAACTATATACAATGACCAAGTGGGATTCATTCCAGGTGTGCAAGGATGGTTTAACATATGAAAGTCAATCAATGTAATAGATCCTCTCGATACAAGGAAAAATAAAGATCAGTAGATGCAGAGAAAGCATTTGATAAGTCAACGTTCATTCATGATAAAAAAAAATGAAATGGGAAAGAACTTTTCTCAACATTGTCAAAGCCGTTTACCACAGACCTAAAGCTAACATTATTCTCAGTGGGGGATAACTAAAAACCTTCCCCTTAAGATCAGGCACAAGAAAAGGTTACCCACTCTCACCACTTTTATTCAATATAGTATTAGAAATACTTGCCATAGCAATTAGGTAAGAAAAAGGGCATCTAGGTAGGAAAGGAAGAAGTCAAGCTTTCACTATTTGCAGATAATGAGTACTATATTTGAAAACCCTAAAGATTCCACAAAAAAAAACTTCTAGAAACAATTGATTTGTTTAGTAAAGTGGTATGCTACAAAATTAACATGCAAAAATCCATGGCTTAATGAAAAAAAATTCACAATTATGTCTCAGAAGATCAAATACCTAGAAATTGCCTAAACTAAAGTGGTGAAAGGCCTATACAAAGAAAACTACAAAACACTACTTAATGAAGCAAAAGAGGATACAAGAAAAAAAATGAAAATTCAACCCCTGCTCATGGATTGAAAGAATTAACATTGTCAAAATGGCAATGTTTTGAATTCATAACATTTATAGAGGAAAATATAGGCAGAACTCTCCATGACATTGAAGCTAGAGTTATCTTTAAGAAGGAAACGTCACTGACCAAGCAAGTAGAGCAAAGATAAGCAAATAGGACCACATTAAACTAAGAAGCTTCTGCACCTCAAAGGAAATGGTGACGAGAATACAATGACTGGGAGAAATTCTTTGCCTACCACTCATCTGACAAAAGGTCAGTATCCAAGGTAATAAAGCATTTGTAGAGCTCTGAAAGAAAAAGAAACCTAGCTCTGTCAAAAAATGGGGGGGGGGGGAAGCTGAATAGGAACTTCTTCAAAGAAGAAATGCAAATAACCCAAAAGAATATGATATTATGCTTTATACCACTAATCATCGGAGAAATGCAAATCAAAGCCACAATGAGAAACTGGCACTCATCAAAAAGAAAAATAGCCATGTTGGCGAAAATGTAGGGAAAAGGAACCCTCATTTACTGCTAGTGGGTATGTTGACAGGACCAAACTTTTTGGAAGACAATAAAGATGTTCCTCAGAAAACAAGGAATTGAGCTTCCACATGACCCAGAAATTCCAGACCTGGGAATACTCCCCAAACGCACAAATCAGAAAGGGCAGCTGCACACGTGTGTTCACTGTGACACTATACTATAGTCAAAATATGGAAACACCCAAATGCCCACGAACAGATGACTGAATAAAGAAACTACGGTACATATACACAATGGAATACTATTCGACCTTAAGAAAAGATAAAGTCATGCAGTTTGGTGCAGTGTGGATAGATCTGGAGAGTATCACATAGAGTGAAATCTCCCAGAGGGAGAGGCACAGACTCAGGGTGACCTCTCGTGTGTGGGATACAAGGAACCCTCCTGGGGGAATATTGGCTGCCCAAGGGCAACAGAAATGAGGAGCAGGAGAGTTGGTCTTGAGTAGGCAGCTAGGCCCTGTGGTGAGGGATAAGTTAGGGAAGGGAACAGTAGGGCAGTGGGGGAGGGGGGGAGTGCCTGCCACAGAGGCAGGCTGAGGGTGAGGGAAACTGAGGGCATTGGTGGAGGGGAGTGGGCACTGGCAAAGGGATGCAACTCATCTTTGTAACTTTGTAATTTACAGTGATCAGTTTTAAAAAAAAAAAAACAGAAAAAAAAAAGAAAGAACTCTCTGAGAACCATTGTTTGGTTAGCTGACCAGGAACAGGTCCCCGAAATTTCCCTTTGTTACATATCTAAAGCAAATCCCATTAGCCTTCCTGTATAAACACAGTTCATTCTCTCCTGTGTCTTTCTTTTTCTGTAACCGTATTTCAACTCATCTTGACAGATGGGATTACCTGTTCATTGATGGAAATGATTGCAGCATCCCAGCTAATTCCTTTCTTTCCCACCTTCATTGGGATTATTAGTTCTGCTAATCCTTCATAATCCCTAATCAGAGCAGAGAGTTGTGCCATCAAAAAGTTTACTATCCAGTCTTACATTATTTTGGGCCAAAGCAGTAATACAGCGGGTAAAGCGCTTGTCAATCCCAGCACTCATCCCTGAGCACAGAGCCAGGAGTAAGCCCTGAGCACCACTGAGTATGGTCCAAAACCAAAAAATCATACTGTTTTCAGATTGTTCTTTAACCATCTTCCTTAAAGGTGTCGATTTGGGCGAGAGATGACGGGCTGAGTGTGTGCTTCGATTGCCACTCCTGAGCGAGCCCACGCCAGCGCTGTGCGGGCCTGCATCCAGCCAGATGGCCCTCACGCCAGCGTCCTCGGGCTGGTACTTGCTCTCCCGAGCACCTAAGTCATGTGAGATAGCAGCCTGCTTCTCCCGCTCTCCTTGGCAGACTCTTAGCAGGAGACAGCGAAGAGCAAACAAACATAAACCCGCTGTCAGCCAGAGTTGTCCAGGGGTTGCGTGGCTTGCCTCATACACGTCCAACTCTGGTTCGATCCCAGCACCGCCCAGACTCCCCCAAATACCACCGACTGACCGACCCTGAGCACTGTCAGTTGTAGCCCCCCCCCAAAAAAAAAAAAAACAAAAGTTAGAAAAGGAAGAAGATATCGACATGGAGACGGTAATTGAGCATCACCTCACCTGGGAGTTGGAAAATGGGGAAATGGCCACCAGAGACGACAAACCCAAGAGTTCTCTCACGGCTCCTGTGGACTGCTCTGGCCGAGGGAGGTCGGGGCGCAGGTGTCAGACCCAGAGAGCACTCGGAGCGTCCCTGAGAGCGCTCGGAGCACCCATGCGCGTGAGTCTGAGTCGGCCCAGTCTTGGGCTGCACCGTTTCCATTCCATCATTTTTGGTCTCGTGGCAAAGCTGCTGGTGGCCGCATCTGTATGGGAGGAACCGCACCCACCATGGTGCCCTCGAGCCTGCAGCTGGGCTGACACTCGGTAGCACGACCTTGTTGACTCTGAAGGTCGGGCAGCACATTCACACCTCCTACACAGGCTTTTTTCCTGTAATCACGTTCGTTTTTTTCGGACTTGCTTATCTCCATAAAACTGCCTACCATATTTCTCTGCTGTGTTCTGTGATCCGGGCTTTGTCGCTGTCTGCTGCTGAGATGAGCGGGGGCTTCTGCCCACCCAGCCCCGTCCACCCCCTCACACACGAGGGACACGCGATACACTCTGCAGAGCAGAGAGTGGGGGGAGGGAGGGAGGTCCCCCCCACCTGGCAGTCCCCACGCTTCGGAGTGCTCGCAGGCCAGGGCAAAGCCTGGTGAGCTCCGCGTGAGCCGCAAGTGCGACATTGACTTTCCATCACTGTCTCCTCAAAACTCACCGCGCCAGTACGGACACCTGCGCGTTCCATCATTTAGCTCTGAAGTGTTCCCAGGTAGAAAAAAAGCGGAACTGTTGATTGTGCTAGTGCCGAGGTGGTTCGGTCAGTGACACGTGTGCAGAATGACGCGCTGTGGTGTGGCACGGCTGTGACGGCTGTGACGGGCTCCAGGTGATCCTCTGAGCCATCCCCCAAAGGGCGCAGACATTCTCTGTTCGCTGATCACCTGGCCTCCGAGTGAAGCTACTCTGAAACATACTTTCACTTCCCCCGAAGAAGAAGAAGTGAGCAGTGATTATTGGAAAGCTAAAATTCTCTCCTCGGGGGGCTGGAGCGATAGCACAGCGGGGAGGGCGTTTGCCTTGCACGCGACCAACCCGGGTTCGATTCCCAGCATCCCACATGGTCCCCCGAGCACCGCCAGGAGTAATTCCTGAGTGAAGAGCCAGGAGTAACCCCTGTGCATCGCTGGGTGTGACCCAAAAAGCAAAAAAAAAAAAATTCTCTCCTCAGGTCCCCTCCAAATACAGTGGGATTCTGTCTTTTGGGGGAGAATGGGACAAAGCCCTTCCATGAATTGCATGTGGCCTTCCGGCTCCGATTCGTGGCCGAGTGTCTCAGGTGTGGTGGGGGCGGCAGCTGCTCGATTCCCGTCTCCTCGCTGTCTCTGTGAACTGGGCACTGAGCCCTCACCTGCGGACCTCCTCCCGGCCGAAAGGCTTGCCTTCCTCTCCCTCCTCCCTCCTTCCCTTCCGCCTGCCCGCCTTCCTCCGTTACTCCCTCCCTCCTCCCTTCCCTCGAAGGTCTGAGCACATGGGATGGCCTCAGAAAGGCTCCCAGTGAGTAGAGTGTTGCAGTGTAACGTGGTGAGCCTGTAAATGTCTGCATAGAGTTTCCTCAGAGTGCACAGAGTGGGCAGGGAGCAGCCGAGGAGGCAGCAGAGCCTCAGAACGGAGGAGTCAGGGGCTGGGGAGGGGGCTGGGCCCAGGGGCACAAAGGAGACCAAATCCAGGCTGAGGGTGGGGTTGGAAGGAGACTGAATCCAGGCTGAGGGTCAGGGGGAAGGAGACTGAATCCAGGCTGAGGGTGGGGTTGGAAGGAGACTGTTGGCCTGTGCAGTAGGCCACGGCCACCCGGATGGATGGAGACTGGCTGCTCTGGGCAAGGCTGCCCCCAGGGTGCTGCTGTGACTCCCAGTCCCCCGCAGACCCTGGAGAGCCGGTGGCAGCAAGCACCCAGGGGTGGGGGGTGGGGGCGGCTTATGCTGGGACTCGGGACTCCCATCCCCGCCCGTAGGCAGCCCGGACTGTGCGCGGTCTGAGCCCACGTGCTGAGCTCCGGAAGGCCCCACAGCCCCAGGACCCCCAGAGCTCAGGCGCCCGCCCACCCCTGTCCGCTTTAGGGGTGTCGCCTTCTGTCTCTCACCCGTGTTTGCCCTTTTCTCCATGACAGACCAACCAGCACTTCCTGCAGACGATCTCGGAGCAGAGCGCGGAGATCAGCCAGCTCCGAAAGCAGCTGAGGTGCGTGCAGTCTCCTTGCCTTCTTAGCTGTGGGCCGGGCGTGGGGCTGCCCCCAAGGGCCTGGCCTGGCCCGAGCTTGCCCCGGGGCTTTCGGGATGGCCCCAGTGCCAGCGGTCGGGAGCACCTGGTCTGAGGCAGCCCTGGGACACCCCAGGTGGCTGCGTGCCTTACGGCTGTGACCAAGCCAGTCACTGTGTGTCCACAGGCTCGCTATTCGTGCTTCCACCACCGCGTAATTTTCCCTGGCGAAATAATATAATTTAAAAGAATATTTTGTGTGCCATTTTAAAAAATATTTTATTGCCAATATCAACTGCTGAATTTAATTCAAAGAAATGTACTTTCTCCCACACCCAAACATCCCAACTTTCAAGCTCTGTCCTGCTTCTCATTGTTGGGCTGTTTCTGACCTCACTGGGCGAGCACAGTGCACCTGCAGGGCCGTCCACTCTCTTCAGAGCAGGGCGGTTTTGTCTTCCACGAGGAGGTGGCGTGAGCCACCCTGGCTCTCTGTCGGGAGGGTCTGAGTCTGCGTGTGGACGCCAGGGGTAGTACGTGCCCAGTCCCAAGCAAGACCCTGCTTCAGACCGCCCCTTGCTTGGGGAGTCCCTGCTCTCTACTGACAGAGGCGGGGCGGCAGAGCACAGACCCTTGAAGCCAGGACAGTCCCCAGGCAGTCCCCAGCCCCCGCCCCCAATGTGGCCAGCAGTGCCTGGCCCAGCCTCCTGGAAGCTTGTGTTGGGTTTGGTCACCCGAGATCACTGGCCTCTCCACTGACCGCAGCCTCCCGGCCCCCTCATGCCCCCAGCCTTGAGCGTGGAGTGTCGTGAGATGCGCCTTCTCCCCCGGCTCTCCACGCCACAGTGCCCATGTCCCGGGCTCCGTTTGGCTTCTTCCATGAGACTGGACTTCGAACGGAGGCGAACAGTCAGAGACTTCTTTTTTTTTCTTTAAATTTTCATAAAGTCGTTCACGATGGATTACACTCAGTGTTTCAACACCAGTCCCACCACCACGACATCTTCCCACCACCACCATTTCCAGTTTTCCCACCGCCACTCAAGCCCGCCCAACAGGCAGGTGCTAGATCATTTATTTTGTATTGCTTGTTGTGAACCGAGCTGCCGCGCGGCCTCACGCTCCCGGAAGCCTAAAATCTCCAACAATCAGGGTTCAGAGGCATCCCTGCAGCGAGAGATCGCTTCCGAGATCCATTCGTGAGTCTCCGGATAGCGGCCGTTAATGTACTTCAGTGGCACCAGGGGCTCGAGGGTGTGGGTGCCGCAGACACGGCCCGGGGGACCCCGTGGCGTGGGGGTCGCGAGAACCCAGATTCTGGCTGTCTCGCTGTCCGCTGTTCGCCGACACTCTCGGCAGCGCTGCGTGCTCTGAGCCGGGCTTGCTGCTCCTGCCACAGACTCGGGGACAGAAGGCCCAGCAGATGCTGTGCTGGCGACAGGGCGTTGCTTTCGAGGCTGACAGATTCTGAGTGATGGGCAGCACACTTGAGCTTGAGGTTCCCTGTTGGCGGTGCCAAGAATCGCTAAATTAGAAACTCTCAAAGCCTAGAGTCGCGTGAGATTGTATGATACTGGGGAGGGGGGAAAAAACCCTTTTCATTAGTTGACTGATACCAGGATGCAAAAAAAAAAAATCATGTAAACTTGGAACACCAATGTCAGCCCGCCCCGATGCCAGGTTTCTGGCCTGCGGAGCAGACAGACGCCCTCAGCTGGCGGGGGGTGGGGGGCACCTGCGTGCCCACGGGCCTCTGCCCCTGGCCCTTCCTGCCTTGAGTCATCGTTCCCGCTCCTGGAAATGTGTGGCCTTCGTTTTTATTTTGGTTCTGGGGCCACACACTGTGGTTCTCAGGGCTTGCTCCTGGCGCTGTCCTCAGGGGTCACTCCAGGTGAACCTCGGGGCACCACTGCCCACGGGGTTATTGCTCCAGTACACACGGGCCTTCCCAAGAGGACGCCTCCCCTTCCCCACTGCTTCCTCGGGCCGACTGCGTTGAGCTGTTCTGCCTCAGGTATTTGACGGGCTTCAGGTCTGCCTCATGAAGTTTCTGAAGGCCTGTCGTCAGTGTGTGTCACCCTGGGGTGCCCTGCCTCGTCCCGGAGCCCCAGCTGTCCGCACCGAGGTGCCTATGGCCTGCCCGCCCCTCCGAGGGGCCCCCTGGTCGCAGTACCCTCGAGGGTCTTCCCAGACCGTCGTCGCCTCCGGAGAAAGACCGTACCCCTCGTCATTCTTACGTTTGCGCTCTGAGGGTAGAAACCGTTTTCCCTTCCTTGCTCTCACAGTTAATGAAAATTCGCTTTTGACGGTTCCTTGTAATGGAGGGAACAGGACTGCGTTTGCACCGTCCTCCCAGGCCCTCACACTGGCCCTGCCCTGCCTGTCTCCACTCCTCCTTCCCTCTCGTCACCTCCGCCGCGTCCACGCCTTTGCAAGCTGGTTGTGTAGACGGTTCATGTTGCTGTGACCACCTCGGGCACACCCGTGGGCTCCTCCACTCCTGTCCCCGGCCTGATCACTGAGCTCCCCGACCTCCTGGCTGCTGGACCCCGACTCCTCAGTGGCTGAGCACAGCGGCTCATCCCTCCGGAGTCAGGGCTTTGGATTTGTGCCTGGCTCCAAACCAGGAAGGAGGGATCCTGAATTCTTTTGGTTTTGTTTGGGGGCCACACCCAGGGATGCTTAGGGCTTACTCGTGGCTCTGTGCTCAGGAGTCATATGGGGTGACGGGTTGAACGGGGGTCGGCCACATGTACCCAAGTATTTTATCCACTGTACTGTCTTTCTCTGGCTCTTGTTGCAATTTTTTAAGTGCTTTTTTTTTTTTTGGCTTTTTGGGTAACACCTGGCAATGCTCTGGGATTACTTCTGGCTCTGCACTCAGGAATTACTCCTGGCGGTGCTCAGGGGCCTTATGGGATGCCAGGGATTGTACCTGGGTTGGCTGCCTACAAGGCAAATGCCCTACCTGCTGTAGTGTTGCTCTGGCCCTTAAGTGTTGTTTTTACAAGTGCCTATTTTTTTCTTATAAAATGTATGTGCTGGTAATTTTCTTTTTTTCTTTTTGGGTCACGCCCGGCTATGCACAGGGTTTACTCCTGGCTCTGCACTCAGGAATTACTCCTGGCGATACTCAGGGGACCATATGGGATTCAGGGACTCGAACCTGGGTCGGCCACATGCAAGGCAAACGCCCACCCGCTGTGCTATCACTCCAGCCCCTGTGCTGGTAATTTTTACTTGTGTACCTTTGCCATGTAATAGTTTCATTTTAGCTAACAGGTTTTCTCAGATGTTTCAGGTTCCGATTGAAATAATACTATGTCTTCTATCATAAAGATTCTGTGGGAATCTGGAAATCTGAACCGTAGGGTTCCTAATTTTGACTCATGGCATGACTCAGACTGTCTCCCGGGTGGGAAACGGCCCCATGCAGACATACTTCGTCCTGAGAACTGCCGGGTAACTCCGTATGTGTTGGCAGCTGGCCTTCTGAGCGAGCGTGGAGACGGGTTTCCACAGAAGGCACGGGGCCTGGCAGTCGCTTCCTGTCTCTTTACGCTACTTTTCCTTTGAGTCATCTAAGGAACCACTCGCCGTCCATGCCCGCTTATTAAGAAAGTCTCTGTTTTCCCCTTGCTCTTGAAGGGGCAGAGCGACTGTGCTCCCAGAGCCTGTCGGTTGAGAGTAGAAACAAACCCGGAGCTCCGTCCTTTGAACTCTTGCCTCCACCCGTCGGTTCCTGATTCATTTTGAGACGCCTTTTATTGACGATTATGACTCCGTTCCACAAACACTTCTTCTTGCACAGGGCATGAAGTGCACGTGGAGCGCGGGCTCTGCCGCGTGGAGCGCCGGCCTTCGCATCCCACTGACCGTTTCTGTCTCGTCCTGATTCTGGGGACGGGCCCGAGCAGCTTGTATGGCCGATGGTGACTTGAGTTTCCTCATCTGTGTCAGAAGCAAAACGTGCTTCCTAGGGGCCGCCCGGCTCCTCCTGGCCCTGACACAGGCTCGACTGGGCCCCGGCGAGTACCAGAACACCTCCCCCTGCTGAGAAATCCTTCGGGCCTTTAGTGGCTGCTGGGGTTGCTTGGGTCAGACACAACCTTCCGTTCTCAGGGCTCAGAGAGAGTCCAGCTAACTACCTCTGGGTTCCAGCATCCCATGTGATCCCCCGAGTCCGCCGGGAGTGAAGAACAGTGCAGAGCCAGGAGTTACCTCTGAGCACAGCCGGGCATGGCCCAAAAGCCAAGCCAAAGAGCAAACCTTCCTTCCTTGCCCCAACTTTTCCATTCAGTTGTGTCCCCACTTCTTGCCAACTCTGCAGTGCCATTTGCCAGAGAGTTAGGGACCACATGGATAAGAGAACCTCTTAGTCTGTTGGGAGGAGAAAGAGGAATGGTGAGACTAGCTGAGCCCAACACAGAAGACGTGGGTGTGGCGTGCGGGGAGGCAGCGGAGCGAGGGTGAGCGGCCCGCGTGCCACCACAGCTGGCGCCCCTGAAATCAGGGGAACTTCCGGGCTGTCCTGGGCAGCAGGAGAGCCAGTGCGGATGAAACCAGATTTCATTTTCCCATTTCTGATTCTTGACGACCTGGGCAGCCCCCTGATTGATTTTCTTTCTAACCCAGGGAGGCCAAGTTGGAGCTGCGAGGTGCCCTGGCGAAAGTGGGAGAGTTGACCAAGACGACGGGGAACCTTCAGGAGCAGATGCAGAAGCAGGTGCATCGCTGTTTCCATGGCAACCGGGCGTCCTGGCCTAGCCTAATTGTGGCTCTCTTTTGGATTAAGTACTTCCGAGAGTTGTTAGCAAATGAAATCAATCATTTTATTGCCCTCTAAAGCATCAGATGAGGAAGCTAAATTAGAATACTGGAAACAACATCTCGTTTTCATTTACCTTGCGATGGGTCCGTAACGCATCTCTGTCAGCCCTGAGCACATCGTTACGGAAGCTCCGGCCCAGGTCATCAGGTCTCTGGACCAAAGAGCATTTCCGTGAGTTATTTAGGATGCGTGTTGGTGTAAGAAATGCTGACGACTCTTCATGTAATATGAACATTTCTGCAGGATGTCAGGGGAAGGTCAGACTTCGGGTGTAGATCAGGCTGATCGTTGAGAATTGCGCTTTCTAGCTGTGTGACGTCCTGCGCCTTTTCCCTTACTGTTTTTTTTCTTTTTCCCTTGGGTACAATGTGCTCAGAGCTGTGATCAAAAAAGTATTGTTGAATAAGTAGCTCATTTATTGTTTTTTCTAACTTGCCTGAAGTTTTTGTCGAGAAGAGGATGGGGAACACACAAGTGGGCAGGGGGAGGACTTGGCTAAATGGACAGGGTTGGGGGGACTCAGCTAGGTGGCCGGGGGTGGGGGGGAGGACTCGCTGGGGGATGGGACTCCGCTAGGGGGCGGGGGACTCGCTGGGGGGCAGGACTCAGACCCCGTGTGCCACTCATCCCCGGCACGCTCCGGCCCCGGCTCGGGCTGCAGGGAGCGGGGCCACCCTGCTATCTTGCTCCTTCCTGGCTCTGTGGCCATGGTGACTCCACACGTGCTGCCGCGTGCTGACAGTCGGGCTCCTTGTTTTCCAGGAGGCAGACGTGGCGTCTGCGCGAGGCAGAGAGGACGCGTCCGACAGGCGCCTGCAGCAGCTGCAGTCCAGCATCAAGCAGCTGGAGGCCAGGTACGTGGGGTGGCCGAGCCATGCTCCTGTCCCAAGCGCCAGCGTCTGAGTGCCTGTTTTTGTTGGTTTGGGTTTTTTGGGGGGGTTGCAGGGGGACCACAGCCAACAGTGCTCAGGAATCACTCCTGGCGGAGCTGAAGGGACCCTGTGGGACACCAGGGATGGAACCCAGGTCAGCCCCATGCAAGGCAAGCACCCTCCCCGCTGTCCTGTGGCTCCGGCCCCTATTTGAGGTTCTGAGCCCCCCCCCAGGGTGATGGGGCTTCACACCTTCAGGTCTTTTATTTCTAGCGGCAACCCGGGTTCGATCCCCAACATCCCATAGGGTCCCAGAACACTGCCAGGAGTGATTCCTGAGTGCAGAGCAGAGCCTCTGAGCATCGCTGGGTGGGACCCAGAAAACAAAAATATAATTGTGTGTGTGTATGTGTGTGTATATATATATGTATATATATATATATGTATATATATATACACACACATATATATGTGTGTGTGTGTGTGTGTGTATCAGGCCCAGAAATACAGTGGACTGAGCAGTGAGTGTGTGCCCCGGTTAGCCACAGAATGGCCCACGGACTGCTCTGGGGGAACCCTCTTGACATGAGCCTCTTAGTGATTTTTTTTTTTTTTTTTTTTTTTTTTTTTGCTTTTTGGGTCCCACTCGGCGATGCTCAGGGCTGACTCCTGGCTCTGCACTCAGGATTCACTCCTGGCGGTGCTCAGGGAACGATATGGGATGCTGGAAATTGAACCCGGGTTGGCTGCATAACGCCCTACCCACTGTGCTATTGCTCTAGCCCCCATGGTGAGGAATTTAAGAAACATGGTTTCCTTTAACTTGTGCGTTTGAGCACAAGGGAAACTCCCGTGGGTCAGACTGGCGAGGAAACCCAGACACAGCTCATGGGCACGGGACCCAGGCCGGCGGCAGCCCCTGCAGCAGCCCCAGGTACCACCTGGGGACTGAGCAGCCTGGCCGGCAGGGACACAGTTGGCAGGGCCTGCCCCGAGCATGCCGACCTCCCTGGGGACGTGCCCGAGAAGCCTCTTTGGCCTGCGCCCTAGTCAGCCCCAGTCGCAGGAGCCCAGCAGGCCCGGCCATGGGGGAGCAGACCTGCCCTGCTCCGGGGGCTGTGACTGGGCTGTGACCCCGGCACCTGACGCAGCTCCTGGGCAAACAACAAACACAAGCCCAAAGGTGGGTTTCTGTGAGCACAAGGGAGAGAGCCGCCAGCCAGTCGGGACGGTCCCCGGGCTCGCAGCCCTCCCCCTCGGCAGCCCCCGACGCCGTGACTGCGTTTCAGACTGCGCGTGGCCCTGCAGGACGCCGGGCAGCTGCGGGCGGAGAAGGCGCGCCTGGAGAGGCAGAACGCGGACCTGCAGGCGCAGTGCAGCGAGCTGCAGGGGGAGAAGTTCGAGGCCGTCCAGCGGGCCCGGGGCAGCTTGCAGCTGCTGGAGGAGGCCAACCTGCAGAAGAGCCAGGTGGGGGCCGGAGGGGGGGTGGGGCGGGGAGGGGAGGGGGATTCCAGCCTCTGCAAGGCCCCCCCACGAAGGCAGCGCAGCCAGCAGCAGGCAGTGCTGGGACCAGCCTCTGGCCCGTGTCCCGGCCCTCGTCTGTCCCTTGTTTGTCCCGCGACCCTGGTCTGTCCCGCTGCCCTCGTCTGTACCGTGGCCCCCTGGCTTGTCCTCCCAGGCCCTGCTGGAGGAGAAGCACAAGGAGGAAGACAGAGAGAAGATGAGGGAAGCGATGTCCCGGGTGCTGCAGGACGCAGCCGTGAGGACCAGGAAGGAGGTGAGGCCACCGGGTCTCGGGTCGGGGTGGGCAGACCCCGGTGGCTCCCGCCCGCCGGGCCCAGCTGGTCACAGCCTCGTGGCCTTCTGTCCCCGAGGAAAGTCGCCTCGGGCTCCGGATGCGGTGGGGAAGAGCACCCCAGGGTGCACAGTCAGAGGCCAGCGACACAGAGCAGCTGCTCCCAGCCCCGAACACCCGCCCAGAGTCACGCCGTGGAAGGGCCCGGCCCACTGACGCCGGCACCTTGGGGCCGTGGCCTTGCAGTCCTGGGAGAGTGGACGGGGCGCGTGGGAGCTGGGCCTGGCCCTGTGGCAGGGGCAGCCACGTCCAGACCCCCACTCGGGCTGGCCTCCCTGAGTAGAAGCAGGCCCGCCCACAGGGCCGGGGAGCTGGCAGTGTAGACGGGCAGGGCTTTGGGGTCTCCTCAGCCCTCGGGGGAGCAGCTGGCCATACAGGGTTCCTCGCTACGGTTCCCGCGGCTGAGCTCGCTGCCCTGCGTTTCTGGGAAGCCGTCGGCTTCCTCACTGTCTGCCTAAGCGACAAGTGTCCGGCTTGAGGTGGACTCCAAACGGGCTCCCACGCCTCATCTTGCCTGCTTCCCGCAGGAGCGTCTTGCATCACAGAGATTCAGAAGATTGTGACCGGAAGCGTAGTCTAAAAAAAAAATTGGGGGGGCTGGAATGATAGCACAGCAGGTAGGGCGTTTGCCTTGGACACGACCGACCCGGGTTCGATTCCCAGCATCCTATAGGGTCCCCCGAGCACCGCCAGGAGTAATTCCTGAGTGCAGAACCAGGAGTAACCCCTGTGCATCGCCAGGTGTGACCCAAAAAGAAAAAAAATTCCCCATTTTTTGGTTTAGGGGCTACTTTGGTTTAAGTCCAGCAGTGCTCAGGACTCACTCCTGGCTCAGTGCTCAGGGATTATGCCAGAGGCCAGGGATCAAACCCAGGTCTGCTGTGTGCAAGGGAAGCGCCTTGCCCACTGTGCTCTCCAGTCCCTGGCTTAAATATTTTTGGTGACAGGGGCTGGAGCAATAGCACAGCGGGTAGGGCGTTTGCCTTGCACGCTGCCGACCCGGGTTCGATTCCCAGCATCCCATAGGGTCCCCTGAGCACCGCCAGGAGTAACTCCTGAGTATAGAGCCAGGAGTAACCCCTGTGCATCACCGGGTGTGACCCAAAAAGCAAAAAAATAATAAATAAATATTTTTGGTGACATTTTTCAAATATGTATATTAATAAATTTTAGGTTTTAGTGATATGTTCGTCAACGTATTCATGGTATGAATACTCCGCATTTTTCTAATCCTAAAATAAGTACATTTTGATTTTCATGTTGATAGAGACTTTTATACAGACCTATAATCACTGTTAGTTGTTCTTCACAGTCTGTTTAGAAATATTATGCAGTTTAATTCATAGAAAGATTTATAGAACTGTTTCAGAATACACACTCTTACACCCTTGTGAGCCTGCGTCATTTTTAAATGTTTGAAAGAGCACCTTTTTTTTTTTAATTATGTGAAAGATAGGGTGGAGCTTAGAGTCCCAAACTCTATGTTCTAGGAGCCCCTGTGATATAATCTCTGTGTGCTTTAACCTTTGTCACCTGTAATGGAAATGAAAACTGTTGTATCTGATCCTGGAGATAATGACTCTCCAAATAGTTCTTGGCTCACTAGCCCTCAGGGAATGCTGCCATGGTTATCACTGGCTGGTGAATAGGAGAGATTGATCCTTTTTTTTATTTTTAAATATTTGCGGGGGGGGGGGGGGGGGGGGGGGGGGGGGATGCTCAGGGGTTCCTCCTGACTCTGCTCTCAGGAATTACTCCTGGCAGTGTTTGGGGGACCATATGGGACGCCGGGGATCAAACCCGGTTCTGCTGTGTGCAAGGCAGACGCCCTCCCCGCTGGGCTGTCACTCCAGCCCTGAGATTGATCCTTAATATCATGAATCATAAGAAAAGACCGTAGCAAACTATCATTAGGATGGAGCCTAAAAGGGACGCCACACATCTAGCGCTCTTCAAAGAGAGCTCGTACTGGCCCAGTTACTCCGAGGCACTATTATAGACCTTTGAAAGAAAGTTTTAGTATGTTTTTGAAATAGGCCATTTTTACAACGTACTCTAGAATTCTGAAGACCCTTGGATCGTAAATATTTGCAGATGGTACAGCTTCAATATTACTGTTCCTCACCGTCTTTTTAAAAAGCATGGATTTTTGGGGGGAAAAAGTTGGAAAAACATCCTGCCTTGGGGGGCTCCTGATGAGACGTGGCTGACTTGAGGGGGGTGCCTGGCCGGCAGCCCGGGGTTGCCTGCTCTGATGACACCGGGTGTCCGTGGAGAAGGGCGAGACGCACAGACTGCCACACTGCGCCCCACGAGTGTTGCCAAGTGCGTGAGGCGCAGGTGCCGGGCTTACTCGGACTCTGGCCTGGTCCCCAGGCTCCCTCTCTGCTGAGGGAGACGCTGGCTCCGGGACTCCCCTGGACGGACGCGACCACAAGGCTCCGTCTCCTCTAGGGAGGCCACCACGGGCTGGATCGGGCCTCGCACCGCAGCCTTCTTTCATTTTAAAGCCTGAGTGTCTCTTCTATGGCATGTGCTCGTGGCTTCGGCAGCGAGGGCCTTAGGACTTAGGAGTTTCAGAGGGGCTGGGGTCTCGTTTTCGTTGTTGATAGTCGGTGCCCTTCTGCAAAGCCGCCGTCCGCCCCTGGCCTGGTTCCTTCCACCGACGGCGCGGAGAGACGCGCGCTCGATCCCCACCGCCCTGTAGGTGGCGCTGCTCCTCGGGGGCCACGGGCAGAGGCCACGGCGGGCGGAGGCCAAGAGGCACACCCGGGCCCACAGCTCGCCGCCCCCCAGCAGCGGCGCCTCGGAGATACCGTCTTACTTTTTAATCCGAATTTTTGTCCTCAGTGCTGTACTGTGTTTCCTCCTTCGATGAGAGGCTACAGTCGTTCTTCACCGCCGTCTCTTGCAGGTCATGAATGTGAAGAAGCAGTACAACGCGCAGCTTTCCCAGATGACGGAAGAGCTGTCGGCCCTTCAAAGGGTATGCGGGAAAGCGACTTTGGGTGTTTGCCAAAGGCGGCTTAAACAAACAGGGCACGTATCCCTGGGTATCCCGTATGTTTGTTATTTTTGTTTGTTCATTCCGAAGATCCTTCCTAAGCCAGGAATTACGCTGTGTGCTAGGAAAAGGGAAGATCAAGATAAACCTGTCATCTGCAGCCTGGGAACAGAGCAGGTGTGGCGGGGAAAAGGATGGCGTGTGGCGTGTTTCTCTGCCGTCCTTGTCTGAGGAGTGGAAGGACAGCGCAGAGACAGCCGTCCAGAGAGGCTTTTTGCAAAGCCTAGCGAAGCCCCATGTTCTCTCCTGAGCACGTTATTTCTTCTCTTCTTCTCCCCTCACATCCAAGTAAATTTTGTTCAATAAAAAGTTAGCTTACTAGGGCTGGAGCGATAGCACAGTGGGTAGGGTGTTTGCCTTGCACGCGGCCGACCCAGGTTCGATTCCCTGCATCCCATATGGTCCCCCGAGCACCACCAGGAGTAATTCCTGAGTGCAGAGCCAGGAGGAACCCCTGTGCATCTCCGGATGTGACCCCCCCCAAAAAAAGAAAATAATAATAATAAATTTACTTACTTTATTATTTTAAAAAAATCATTTTACTGCTGTCCTGGGCTGTTCCCAAGTGTCACGAGGAAAGAGTGAACGGCCTCACAGCTCACCGTAGCCCACGTTTGCGCGGGCCGTGGTCTCCCTGCCGGCGCTCCCCTCCGAGCCGCCTGGAAGCAGCCCTGCGGGAGAAAGGGCTGCCCTGGGTCGGTGTTTGCACCAGCCCAAAGCGTTGGCCACAAGGGAGACCATTGCAGAGCCTGCCCAGTCGGGGGTCCGGGGTGCGGGTGCCGCCGTCTCCCCTCCCGGGCGCCCCTGAGTCCTCCGCCTCCTGCTCTCGTGTGTTTAATCCACGGGCCCCTGTGTTGAAAGAATTAAGTGTGGAGTAGGAATAAATGTATTATTCCTCTGCTTATTTCTCCGCTTCTCTTCCTTGAATGGACAGGAATGCGCTGAGAAACAGAGCCAGATCGACCGCGCCATCAGGGAGAGAAAAGCGATGGAGGAAGAGCTGGAAAAGGTGAAAGGAGAAAGGGCGCCCGGAGCCACAGCACAGCGGGGAGGGCAGGCGTTCGTTTGCCTCGCCCGCGGCCGACCGGGTTCAGTCCCAGCATCCCAGATGGTCTCCCGGGACCATCGGGAGTAATTCCTGAGTGCAGAGCCAGGAGAGACCCCTGAGCATCACTGCGTGTGGCCCAAAAAGCCAAAAGAGAGGGGAGAGAGAGAGACAGGGAGGAAATAGCGTGCAGATACGTGACCCCTCTGCCCCCTCACGGCCTCTCGAAGGCCAGATTCCCAGTGCCTGGGGAGAGTCATGCCCAAGGTGGGTTCTGCGCCCCTCACTGCCGTGTCCGTCTCGACGGCCAGATGCCTGCACTGCTGCGCCTTTATTCTCATCGTTTTAAAGTTCGGATTTCTAGTTCGTGGACAGAACACTGCTGCCACCGTGCTGTCGAGCAGAGTGTGGGGAGAACCCCCAAGCGGCTAGCCCAGGCCCACGGGTGTTGCCCGACCCTCCCTGGGCATGTGTAGGAGTCTGGCCCCCCGCAGGGTGCGCTGACGTCACACCCCGTCCACAGCAAGGGGCTGATGTTGGGCCCGGAGCCTGGGCAGCGGGCGGGTCCTGAGCTGGACGGGGCGGCCACGCAGTGCTGAGGTTTGCGTGCCGGGGAGACCGCCCCATGTGCGGCGGCCGCTCGGCCTGCTGGACACCTGGAGCAGGAGTGAGGGACAAGGTCCCAGGGCGGGTCAGGGGACACGGTCCCAGGGAGGGGCTGCAGGACGCTCGCGCTGTCCACCCTCAGCCTCTCGCTCCGTCGGGCACGCCACGACCCGGTGCCCGGCCATGTCCACACTCGCTCTGACCCTGCCCCTCTGCAGAACTGGCAGCAGGGCCGCGCAGCCGACGGCCCCGGGAGGCTGGAGGAGATGCTGGGGCGCTGGCAGCTGGCCGAGCGGGCCAAGGACGAGCTGCAGCTGCGCCTGAGGACCGCCGAGAGCAAGATGAAGCGCCTGGAAATCGAGTGAGTAATTGGGCGGGCGCGGTAGCGTTTTCAGGATCCGTGTAAGCATTGACGGGACCTTTTTGCGTTAAGCCGGACTCGGTTCTGTCCTGTGTTGAGAGAGAACATCCAGGACCCCCGTAGGACCTTTGATCAATTATTTTCGAAAAGCGATTTCTTTTTTCGAAGAAACGATTCGGCGTTACTAACCCATTCGATTTCAGATTTCTCCTTCGTGGCGCCCTTGCCGGAGCAGCAGCTCAAGAAGATGCGACAAGTGCGGTTTTTCATCCTGCGCAGCCGTTAGGGTAGCTGGCTGGGGGTCCTGCTTTGGTGTTCAGCTTGCACCCCTTGGGGTGTTGAGTATTCTGTGACGCTCCAGGAGGCTGTTTGTTCCATTGTCCATAAAAATGATGAGTTTACGATCTGGCATATCCACTCTGCGTAGTCTTCTGCCCTCATGTCCCAGAGATTTCTTGGTTGTATGAAATCTCGGTGTTTGACGTAAAGCGTCTGGTAGGACCTCGCCTTTACGATGGTCGGGCGTTGTCGGGAACGCCGCCCCGTGTCCCTCCAGGAAAGCAGATGTTCGCAGGGTCAGTGCACTCGGGGATGCTGGGGAAGGTCGCAAAGCCAGAGAGGAGGCGAGTCTGTGAGCGAGTGGCCCAACCGCTGAGTGGACCCCAGGCGATGACCCAGCGTAGCCCCGTCGTCCCTCCAGGCCACAGCAGAAGCCACAGGCCCACCCATCTCAGTGCCAGCAGGCCACCTTGGAAACGGCCGCACACGCGCACCACACCGCGCCCTGGACACTGACCCAGCTGCAGCTGCGAGGCGGCCTGTCAGCCCTGTCCCCTGCCCAAGACCTTCTTGACTCAGCAGAAGCAGCCCGCAGAGACCGAAGCTGGCGTCTGTCCCGCAAACGCACAAAGAGCAGCAACACTCCAAGTGAAAACTGAGGAGAAACGGGAACCGTCAGACAACAACCCAAATCCGAGTCTCTGCGAGCACCGCCAGGCACAGGGAGCCCAAACGCTCCGCGGAGTGAGGGCAGGAAGACCAGGCGCGAACACGAGAATCTTAGCAAAGGAGTAGACGCCCGCGGGAGAGGCAGCGGGTCCCGGGGCTGAAGTGATGATGACTGGCTGGAGGCCCCACAGAGCGCAGACTCCGGTCACCCGGGCTGGAAGGAATGGAGCGGGACCAAGACCCCAAGAGCCGGGGGCGGCTGAAGCACCTGAAGGAGCAGAGAAGAAGGATGTGCTGAGGCAGGTCCACCGGGCCCCCCTACCCGGGCAGGCTGGACCCCGGGGGCCTTCCCCTCAGTGCTCTCATCAGACCTGGGGGCCGGCAGGAGCGGGAACACCACTCGGCCCGAGAGCGGAGCCCACCCGGCCCACCCCTGCCCCACACATGGGCCTGACCCGAGTGATCTCTGAGCATAGAGCCACTCAGCCCTGGGCACTGCTCGGCATGCCCCCCATAGACCCAGTAAGGGACGCCTTCCTCACAGAAGTGTCACCAGGTGTGTCCAAAGGAACCTCGAAGACCAGAGACGGTGGCACATGCAGAGCACGGAAGGAGAGCACCAGCCGGGGACACAGCCCACAGAGCTGGCCGTCCCGAGGCCAGGCCTGTCCACCGCCCCCCGGGGGCTCATGCAGGGTCAGGGAGACTCAGAAGCTGGTGCGAAAGGACACTGGCCAGCTCCCGCGTGGACGTGGGGACTTCACTGGGCATCTGGTTCCGGTCGGCATTGCCCCTACGTCACGGGGTGTGGTGAAGCCCCCAGGAGAGGCTGCCCCGTGTGGGGGTTGGGCTGTGCCAGGAAGGGGCCGGCTGCAGGCTTCCGGGCGGGATCTCGCCAAGCCACGACCAGCTCCTGGTCTGCGGAGGCGTGAGGAGGGGGTGCGGGAAGCCGGGGGACGTGTGTCTGCTCTGCGGGGTGCCGCTCCCCGACGGTCCCCCGTGCCCTGCACTGGGATGGTCTGCCCGCTCTCCTTTGGAGGCGACTGTTCTTCGCCGACGCTGACCTTGGGGCCCTCTGCGGAGAGGGACCCCATCGGGTCTCTGCACGGCTCCTTCTAACGGGATGGACCCCTGATCGCGGCATGGCTGAGAGGCGCGGGGTGCTGTTCCACGGGGCGAGGGTTGCTGTGTCTCGGGAACTGCAGCTCCCGGGGGTCACTGGGGGCCAAGGCAGGGCACCGGGTGTGGAAAAGCGGGAAACTACAGGGTGGGACGGAAACAAGCTTACTGGAACAGCGTCCCGTCGTTGGTGTTGTTTTCCCCTGAGCCTGTTAAACTGGCCAAGACGGAAGCCGATGGGAACTGTCGGAGACCGTCTAGCGAGCAAGCAGGGCTTGGCTGGCCTGCCTGGGGGCTCCGCGCCGCCCTCGGGCCTTCCACGGGGCCTCCACTAGCCACGCCGGAGGGAAGCTTCGGGGAACTTGTCCCCGTCCCCATCACGGATGGGCGGGACTGCGCGAGGCCCTGCCCGGCTAGCGGCCGCCGGGCTTCACGTCCCCGTTGTCCCCTCTCCCGCTCAGCTCCTCGGAAGAGATCTCCCGGTGCCAGGAAATGATCCAGAGGCTCCAGGGCGTGCTGGAGGCGGAGAGGGAGAGCTGCGGCGCCGTCAGCGAGCAGCGGCTGCGGCTGCAGCAGGAGAACGAGCAGCTGCAGCGGGAGGCGGAGGAGCTGAGGAGGAGCGCGCTGGAGGCGCAGAAGGCGGCCAGGCTGAAGGTACCTCGGGGTAGGAGAGCCCAGTGGGCGCCGCTGCAGGGGCCCTTCCTCGGGGTAGGAGAGCCCAGTGGGCATCTGTGCAGGAGCCCTTCCTCGGAGTAGGAGAGCCCAGTGGGCGCCTGCGCTGGGACCCTCGGGGTAGGAGAGCCCAGTGGGCACCTGCGCTGGGACCCTCCCTCAGGTAGGAAAACCTGGTGGGTGCCTACGCTGGAACCCTCGGGATAGGAGAGCCCAGTGGGCACTGCTGTAAGGGCCCTCCTTCTGGGTAGGAGAGCCCAGTGGGCATCTGCACAGGGGCCCTCCCGCGGAGTAGGAGAGCCCCTGAGAATGGGCTGGAAAGAACCAGGCTAAAGGTAGGGGGAGGTGACTCCAGGCAAGGGAGCGCGGGAGAAACCCCCGGGAGAGGACGTTGCTGGCTGGAACAGAGGGCACCTGGGGCGGGGCTTGGGGCTCAGCACTTGTTGCAGTGGCCAGGCAGTTGGCAGGCAGGCGGGTTAAGGCAGGACCCGTGGGTTGACCATTCTCTGTGTGTGTTGGCGGGGGCCGAGGTCAGGCAGACGGTCCGCCCAGGCAGAGGCTGCCGCAGGAAGGAGGAAGGACGGGACGGGATGGAGGTGGCCGGGGCCGGCCCGGCTTCCCCCACAAGCTGCGCGTGCCCCCTCTTGGCCAGTCCTGGGCCAGCTTCTTGTGCGTGGTTTGGTTTTGCTTTTTCCAGAGATGGCAAGGCCCCCCGATCCATCCTCCACTCTCTGTGCGTGACACAGGGCCGTGCCCGCTGAGAGGGCGTAACGGCATCTAGCAAGCCAGCCGCTGGCTTCTCTTGAGGGGCGTCTAGTGGCCCCAGAGCTGCGCAGAAGTTGGGGCTTCCTGCCAGTCTTGACCCAGCCACGGGAAAGAGCGCGTTGCAGAGCAGCCTGGGACCCGGGGTCGTGTCCGAAGAGCCGTGTCTGAGGCCCTGTGGTCTTGCTGACAGAGAGGAAGAAACCCCTTCACTCCCTGCCGGGGCTGCTTCTCTCCAGAGCCCCAGTTGTGGGAGCTCGTAGGGTGTGCCACGCCTGTCCGGGCATTTTCACCGTGACATTGGTGTGTGCGGGGAAGCGTTCCGTGGGTGACCCAGAAGGGCGTTTCTCCCGCTCCTCCTTGGGAGCCTGAAGCCTGCTGGGGCCCTCTGCTCGGTCGCAGGCCGCAGAGCCCCCCCGGGATCCGGGCAGCCAGGTCGGGGCAGATGCAGGCTGGAGGGGGCGGGGGCGCCAACGGCCCCTCACCCCTCCCTGGCGCCGTCCCGGGCCGCAGCTCCAGCGGGAGGAGGGGGTGGGATCAGTGTGCCTGGGGCGACGTCTCCGCCTGGCGTGTGTCTGAGCCGAGACCCGTCCACCCCATCCCCAGGTCAGCACGATGGAGCAGGAGTTCTCCGTGAAGGCGCACGGCTTTGCGGTGCAGCTCCAGGAGCTGGAGGACCGGAACCGCGACACCACCGCAGAGCTGCGGCGGCTCCTGGGCGCGCAGCAGAAGGCGGCCGGCCGCTGGCGAGAGGAGGCCAGGAAGCTGGCGGGGAGCACCGAGGCCAGGATCGGGGATCTGAAGTGAGTCGCCCGAGGTGCTCACCCGCGCGCGCCCCGTGAATCTGGGCATCCTGAGCACCGAGAGTCGGAGTCCCATCGGGCTCCCGGAGTCGGTGCAGGCTGGCGGCTAGGTGACGTGGACACGGCCTGCCGGGCTGGGACTGCCCCGAGAGTGGGCACCGCCGGGGCAGGGGTGACTTTCCAGGTGCTCGGGGCTTGCACCCGGCTCTGTGGGCGGTGGGAGGCGCTGGGTTCCGCCCGCGCCTGTGAGCGGGGGCTGGTCTGTAGCGGCCTGTAGCACAGGTGGGGCTCAGCTTCTCTGTCCTTTCTCCGCTGTGGGGCCTCGGACCCGCTCTCCCCTGGGAGCTCGTCCCTCACCCAGGGCTGCCAGAACCCGACCGGATGCAGGCCCAGATGTCCACTCTCAGGCCCCAGGAAACACCCCAGCGCCGACTTCCTTTCCCCTCATCATAAATTTCCGCATAGCTAGTCTGGGGGTGCAGGGAGATGCTCACGGCTGAGGCCTTTGGGCAGCAGACCCTGGGTGGTCCCCAGCACCACAGGCCAGCCCGGGCTGCGCCCCCTTCACACCGCCCATTCAGCCCCCGGGCAGTCGCCGACTCGTCCCGGGGCCCTCACTGGGCCTGTCACACACCCTCCTCCATCCCCAGACGGGCCCCCACATCCCCCCTCATTTGCACCATGGCTGGTAGGTCTTGGTGGGAACAAGGTGGCGTTGGCGGATCCCAGTACCAGCCCAATGCTCAGGTCCTGGGAAGGCCCCGATGGGCAGCAGTTGGGTGCTCGCCTTGACGTGGCCAGCCTAGTCCGCAGCACTGAGAACTGCAGGAGCCAGCCCCGAGCACAGCCAGGTGTGTCTCAGAACAGAAGCAAACCAGCATGAGGCGAGGAGCAGACGGCGCCCGGGGAGTCCCCACGGCCAGGCTTGCGGGCAGCACCATGTGCCGGGTGCCAGGGTCTGCGCACAGAGCAGGTGTGCCCCTCAGTCACTCTGCCCAGAGCATCGCTGGTTCCAGGCCTGGCCTTCACAGAACGAGAGGCGCTCTGTGTACGGGCGCTCTCCTCCTCCTGGGGGACATGGAGGATGCTGGGCAGTGTCCATGGAGCCAGGTCGGAACTGCCCCTGCAGCGGCGGGTGGCTCCATTGGCGTCCTCGCGCTTTGGCCGTCATCCGGCTGTGTGCAATCATGAGGAGTCTCCTTCCTGGAGAGAAAGTCAACGTTCGCGCTCGGCGCAGGAGAGACTGAGCTGCAGGTCCAAGGCCACAGCTGGGTGGGTTTGCAGCTGCGTGCGCCCCACTGTGTGCCGCAGACGAGCCACGCGGGCGGCTGCCGGCCCTGCAGACACACCTGCCCTGCTCAGGTGCCGCCTCCCGCGGCTCTCTGGGCTTCACTTCCCACCGCGAGCTGTCCCGACAGCCCGGGCAGGACCCACTTCTCTCGGGGGCCTGCGGTGCTTCCTGGGTCGCACCCAGAGCCGGCGGGCGGCAGAGCTCACCCGAAGGTGCCCTTTCCCGAGCCGCCTCAAATCCTCGGTAGAAAGAGGCAGGGTCGAAAAGGCTAAATAAATAAAAGTTCTCCTGTTCCAGAAAATGTCCTGCGGAACATTCGTGGGTTCCTCCGTGAATGTTTGTTGAGTAAACGAGGAAGGCAGTTTTCTGACTTCTCGTAGAAGAGCAGCCGTAGTCGGCAAATAGTGGCTGAGTCCTGTGCGAAGCCGCGCGTGCCCCAGGGCCGGCAGAAACCACCCCTCCCCCGCCCGCAGGAGCGAGCTGAGCCGGCAGAAGCGCCTCGCCCAGGAGCTGGCTTCTCAGCTGCAGGCGGCCACGGACAAGGCCCTCGAGGTACAAGCGCGCGTCCCCCCTTTCTAGAACGTTCTGACAGCCCGCACCTGTGCTCCACGGGTGACGGCCATCCAGGTGTGTGTCTGCACTGAACCGTGACCCTGACAGTCCAGCTGTGCCACCTGCGGTCCGGGGTGCGCACTCCACCAGGCCGACACACAAGGACAGAAAGCGAGAACCCGCTGGGTCCCCTGCAGGCCCGTGTGCGCATAGGCATGAGTGCAGTGCCTGTGTGTGTACATGCGTGTGCGTGCATCCACTGAGCGTGCCCACATACACGCGTACCCAGAGAGTGCGCGCCCCATACGGTCACTCCGGGCGGCGGGGAAGGCAGCGTAGTGGGGGCGAGAGCAATGCCAGGGACCACGTTCCCCAGACAGCCTGTACACGTGACTCCGCGGGCTGGGCGCTTGCCTGGCATACAGCCGACCCAGGTTGGATCCCTGAGCACAGAGCCAGGCGTAAGCTCTGGGGACCCGGGGGAGGCGCTGGTCTGTGGGGGGCGAGCCCTCCGTCTGACCTCCGTGGACGCCAGAGGAACCTGGGAAACTCACCCTAGAGCCCTGGCCTTCGTGTCTTCATTCTGAGTGCGTTTTGTTGTTGTCGGGGGTCCCATGCAGCAGACTGACCCCCGGCTCTGCTCAGAGATCACTCCTGGCAGGCTCGGGGGACCCTACGGGATCCCAGGGATCAAACCCAGGTTGGCCGCATGCAAGGAAATGCCCTCCCCTCTGTACTATCGCTCCGCCCCCTCCCCCCCCCCCCCCCGACTTTTTAAGAAAACGTTTTTTCCTTCAGTGCTTGCTGTGGCGGGGGAGCATGTCTGGTGGGTCGCCAGAGCTGTCCGGCCTTCCCGGAGCAGCAGGGCCGGCAGCGAGGCGCCCCGCCCGGCTCACACCGTCTCTGACTGGCCCCCGTCTCCCCTGCACAGAACGAGCAACTCCTTCTCGAGCAGCAAGAAAAAGCCAAGAGGCTGCAGAGACGGCTAAACCAGGCCGAGCAGAGGGCGTCTGCCGCGACCCAGCAGGTAAGGTGCTTCTACAGCCAGTGGACCCGTTCATGCTCTCGATGCCGGGGCGGGGGTCGTGCCCGGGCCACACGCTGTCTCACACATGAGCTCTGGCGTTCGCAGGACCCCTGGCAAGCCCCTCGGGAGCCGGCGCCGCCCTCAGCAGCGTGGTCTCCCCGTCACTGGCCAGCGGGCTGTCCTTTCGCCTTGCAGGAGAGGGTCCTTCCGGTGTCCACTCAGAGCACTGGGCGTCGCTGGAGGTCTGGGCTGCCTGGTCCTGTGCCTCGGGCTGTGGAGGCCCAGGAGCCCTCCCTGCCACCCAAACCAGGCCTCCCTCAGAGCCGGGAGAGTGGACGCGGGTGCCCTGGCCTCTTCTCTCTGGGGACAGGGTCAGCGCGTAGGTGGGGCGAGCTGGCCAGTCCCTCCATGCCCCTGGCCCTCCTCACCTGCCCAGCTCCCATCTCGTCTCTGGCCATGGGTTCGTCGAGAGACAGTGGACAGGTCTGGGGCCCATGTGGGTCCGTCCCAGCTGGGTCAGTCTCTGGGCACCGCAGGCGCTGACCAGCTCCGTCTCGGTGCCCTGACCGTGTCCATTTGCCTGCAGCTCAGTGCGATGACGGCGCAGCGCAGGCGAGCGGCCTCCATGGTGGACCTGAGACCATCGAGTAACCCGGTGGGCGGCCGGTATGCGGGACTGTCCCGGGCTGGACCCGAGACCATCGAGGAACCTGGCGGGACTCTCCCTGGCTGGACCTGAGACCATCGAGGAGCTCGTGGGCAGTGCAGGGCCCCGCTGACCGGCGGTGTGCAGGACTGTTCCTCCCTCCACGTCCACCCACTCTGCCCGCTGTGGGCCCCCCAGGTCAGGTCGCAGAGTCGGGCAGTGAAGCAGCCGAGCAAGGTCCCTGGCTCCCCCTGCTGTGGGCTTGGTGGCCCGTTTCCAAGGAGAGCAGGGCCCTGGCAGTGCCCGTCACGAGACAGGGTTTCAGGGAGACGCTGGATTCTGCTCCGCCTTGGAGCATGGAGAACTCTCAGCGGCCGAGCGCACGCCCGTTCCAGCGTGCCGAGTGGCTGTTTGATGAGGAAGTTGTGTCTAATAAACGTGCGATTTCTAAAACCTTGCTGCCGTGGTCTCCTCTGTCACCAGGCCGCCCTGAGCCAGGCCCTCCTGCCTGAGATCGCCGGAGGGCATACGTGCCGAGCACCAGGGGCTGAGCCACAGGGCTGCCCCGGGGCCTCCTAATGGCCTCGGTGTGTGCCTGCGTCCATGTGGTGGCCCCAGTGAGGTCCGGGGGGCGTCACGTGGCTCTGGGCAGATGCTCGGCAGAGACCAGCCTGCTCTGCGTGATCCCTGGGCATCCCGGCATCCGCATCTCGCTCCTGCTGGCCCAGGAACCTGCCTGTGACTCCCCAGTCGACAGAAGCCGGCAGCTGGTGCTTGCCGGCCGCACCGCAGAGTAGACCCCGCAGGCTGTGTGCAATGGCAAGCTGGGGGCAGAGTGGATGGAAAGGGCCCTGGAGGGCAGCGGCGAGCCCAGGAGAAGAGATTCCCCCCCGGCGGGCCCTGCAATGGGCAGGAATCCGGGTGAGAAAGACCGGCAAAGTGCAGCTCCCACTGCCCGGGGCTCTGCTGACAGAAGGATGTGCCGAGCTCCCAAGGCGCGGCGGCCAGGGTAGAGTGACTGCCAGAGCGGCGGGTCTCTCAGCGGGGGGAAGATTCCCAGTGGCGGGATGACCACATGTTCTGGGATCAGTTTCTCTCTTCTGGGGTCTTCCAGGGCACCGGCCATAAGCGTGTCAATAGCCATGCAGGAGGAACAAGGAGATAAAAAAAAAAAAAAAAACCACTTCCAGTCAAATGGATACACACTTCCCCTGATGTGTGTCCGGGGTCCAGTGGCAGCACCCCACAAAGGGGCATTTCCTCACACGTGCATTGTCGAGTCCCAGGCAGCAGCGGGCCCAGGGTTGCGGGCAGCAGTGCCCAGGCCAGTGCACTTGTGCTGCAAGGCTCCACAGCTGGCTCAGGGGCAGGACAGGGGTCTCTTGTCCTAATGCCTCCGGGGGCCGCACAGCCAACATGACGCTGGAGACTTCCTCCTCCTCGTCCTGAAAACCAGCTGCTGCCCCGTGCAGGGAGGTGCCACAGGCCCTTTGCACAGCTGGAAGCAGCACTCGGGCCAACAGCTGTGACCGCTGCCTCCAGATAGGTCTCTGCCGCCACTCTCCTGAGCCTGCAGGGTCCCCCAGCCCGTCACAAAGACACGCCACACGTATTGCAAAATGTACAGCATTTATTCACGTACAGACAAAAAGGCACGAATTCTACTAAATAGTTCAACCAAAAAATACAGCGTCCTCGACTAGTTTTATAAATACTTTCCAAAAGGGGTCTAGAAATAAATACAGGATTGGGCGATGTGATATAAAATAGTCATCTCTACATAGGCTTTCATTCTGGTTTGGAACTCTTCATGCACCTTTTCTCTTCATTTTCGGCTGAATGGACACCAGGCTAGGCACGCAGTGAAAGATCCTCTGTCCAGGGGACACATGGGACGGTCGTGTGTCCGCCGCAAAGTACTTCAGGATTTGTACATGACACACAGAACCCTTTGTTTCCATCTTGTGTTCGATAACCTAACAAATGACATTCCAGGCAACTTTACAAAAGTTTAACTAACCTACATTTGACATAATACAATGATCATAATCAAAGATATCTCTTGGTCAGGATGCACAAGGAGAGATCAAACTTCTTTAAAGGAAAGAAAAGAGAAATGCAAAGAACCGATGGTCCGGAGCTGAGGGGCTGCACGGGGCACCCCGCCAGGCCGACGGGCCGTGCGCCCCGCCCCGGGCCCTGCCAGGGCGCCCTGCCCCGAAGCACTGCTCCCCGCCCCGTCCCCTGGCGCCTCCGAGCAGGAATCTCCCGAGGGGGCGAGGGCGCCTTCTGTCGGTGTGTGTTTTGCCTCTTGCGTTTGAATTTCATTTTGGTTTTTTTTTTGGTTCAGCATAACTTGGAACTTTTGAAAGCTTTTCAACCTAAATGTGGGGGAGGGGAACAGGTAAGGCATCGTTTTTGCACAAAACTGGCATTCCTAATAGTGCAAATGAATCTGGGCCTCCTAGAATCTGGAGAGGCCATCCGCTCCCTAGAACTGATTTAGGTTTTCTTTCTATGGCTTACACAGTGCCCCTCCCTGTTCCACGCTCCGAGCCGTGCAGCCAGGCAGGTCAGTGCAGACACCAGCCCAAGGCGGCTGCTCGCACGCCAAAGCCGCGTGCGTGGTGATGCCGGGAACGCACGGCTGGACTCCTAAGGACCCGGCCGGCCGGCCGGCCGCCGCAGTGGCTGATCCGGACAGCCTCCAGCGGAAACGGGCCCCGCGAGAGCCGGACCCGCCTTCCTCCATGCCTGGACCGGCTGCCCACGGGTACTGGAGGCTGGGTCCGAAAACGTCCCCCCACACCGGGGCTGCGCGGGGTCTCTCTGCTCATCCTCTGAAATTCACTGCGTTTCTGGAAGACGTGAGAGTAAACTACAGAACCCAAAGCACTCTGCATCACGCTCCCGGGACGCAGTCGTGGACAGGCCTCGGGAGCTGAGAACTACGAACCGACCAAGGGGTGACCGAGGGGCAGCGGACACCGCCTGCCGCGGCCCTCTCCTCTCGGATCTGAGTCACGACGACACTGAATCGCAAAGAAAAGAAACGGGGCCTCCACACGGGGTGCCGCGCCAGCACACCGCCACGGGCGCCAGACAACATGGGACTCAAATTTCACGCTGAATTTATTATTGCTGATAACTTGCGAGTTATTGCCACTTGCAATTGGGAAGTCCAAGGGAGAACTCCGACGCCGGGGACCCTATCACACACCTCCGCTCGCTCGCTCCCGTCTGACCTTGTCGTAGGGAAAGGTCAGCACGGCTTATTGCCTTATTGCCTCTACGCTTTTCCATATATAACCTGTTTTGCTTTTTTTTTTCCTTTTCCAATTTTCTGAAGGAATCCGTTCATTTCAGAGGACGGATTCCTGGAGATATGGACTGGTGGCCGGCTCTGCTGTGCGGCCCGGGCCGGGAAGTTCATCGTTTGATGCGAATCTCTTGTTGGAAGCCGGCGCCTTTCTGGGAAGGGCTCCCTGCCGGCCGCCGGGCCCGCCCACTCGGCTCCTGTACCCTGAATCTCCCGGCAGGCCGGCAGGCCCCACGTCCCCACGGGCTCTATTTACACATCAGCTCCCGTGCCCAGGCCTCTCCGCGCCCGCGGGCCCTCCAGCCTGGCCGGCGTCTGTGCTTTGGGAACCAGCGCGGGCAGGGGCGCCCCTTGCGCCCCCTGGAACTCGGTGCTTCCCGCCGGGGCTATCAGGAGGCCAGGATGCTCCTGCGGATGGCGTCTGTCCTGCGGCCCAGGGCGCCGGCGTGCGCAAACTTCTCCTCGGAGGCCTCGCTCTCCGAGTCGCTCATCTCCACGTCGGGCGTGTAGCCGTCGTTCTCGGCGTCGGCCTGCAGCGGGCGGGCCCTGTCCTTGGGCGGCAGGCGGCCGAGGCCCAGGTAGGGGCAGCCCGCGTGCGGGGCGCAGGCGTCTCCCCGCGCCGGGCGCTCCCCCTTCTTTGGGATCCGGAAGCCTCCCCAGTTCTTGCCGGGGCCGGCGGGGGTGGTAGGCACTTTGGCGGTGGTCTGGGGGGCGCCGGCTTTGGCCAGGGAGCCGTGGCCCGGGGGCGCCGCCTCCCTCCGGGGCCCAGGGCAGCCGGCGGTGCGGGCGAGAGGTTTGTGCGTGGGTCTGCAGGGCCGGGCCCTGGCGTCACCGCGGCTGAGGTCACAGTGCAGGCCCAGGCGGTGCTCGCGCCTGGCCCCAGGCCCCGGCGGGGCCGCCCCGTTCTTCGCTCCGTTCTTGGGCGGGGCCAGGAGGAGCCGGGCTTCGGCAAAGGTCTTCTCCAAGCTCAGGAGGCTCTCGGGGACCAGCGGGGCGCCCCTCCGGCCACAGAGGTCCGGCGGCGGCTTCAGCAGGGCGCGGCCCCCCGTCGCCGCGCCGCCCCGCTTGGGCTTCTTCAGCGAGCCGGCCAGGGAGGTGCCCATCTGCTTGCGGAAGAAGGCCGAGTGCCACTTGAGGTCCTCGATGCGCGGGGTGCCGGGGCCCGCGGGGCTGTCAAACAGGAGCGTGCTGTCCAGGGCGGGGCAGGACGGAGGCACGGGGACACCTGTGGGCAGACGGGGAGGGCTGAGTGCGGAGGGCGGAGACGGGTAGGGCCGAGGGCGCAGGGGCGAGGGCCGAGGGCGCAGGGGCCAGGTGGCGGGCAGCCGTCCTCCGCGCCCCCGGCCGTACCTGCGACCCGCTCCTGCTCCTGCAGCTCCGTGTAGAGGCTGAAGATGTGCTCCTGCAGGCGGCACAGCGAGCGCTTCATCTTCTCCCGCCGCGTCACCATGTGCGTGAGCGTCCGCACCTGCGGCAGGGCACAGGGCTGAGGGCGGCGCGGGCTGTGGCCTCCCCACGGCGCTCCCTGCTCGCTGTCCCTGCGGCCCCCCAGCGCCGCACCCCTCCCTGGGAGCCCGTCAGGGCACCCGCCAGGTCAGCCCGTGTCATGGGCGGACGTGAGCCCCGGGCGCTCTGGCTCACCGGCCGGGCGGCTGGGCACGGGCTGTGGGTCAGTGCCACCCCCAGGGCCGCCCTGTCCCAGCCCTGGGCTCCCTCCCACGTGGCTCCGGGCTCAGAACGTGAGCAGATGCCGCCGCGCGGGGCCCGCGCCGGGAATGGATCTTCCCAGAGGGACCCCTGGGCGGCGCCGTCACCCATGCAGCCCCGCAGCACTCGGAGCACTGTGCAGGGAGCCCTGCACAACTCAGGAAGAGAAGCAGCTCACCACAGCATTTTCCACACGTTTATTGGGGGAGGTTCCACACTCACGCCAGGGGCCTGCATCTCCCTGCCAGCCCCCTCAGGACCCTGCAGGCTCGGGGCCACTGCTCATTGCCCCAAGACACGGGAGGAGCCCGCCAGGACTCGGGGGCAGCTGCAGTGACCACCGGTTGCCAGCTGGGCCTGGTTCAGCCTCCCAGAAGGACGACCCCCTCGCCCCTGCCCGGGCCAGGACACACCAGCCCGTCACAGAGCAGTGCATGAGGAGACACGGGGGCCCCGCCAGTACCAAGTGTCGCCCCAGACCAGCCCTGAGCCCCGGATGGACCTGGCACCGCTGCATTCCCCCGCCTGCAGGATGGGGACACTCTGGGTGCGGGACACGTGTGCACGTGAGGTGTGTGTGCATGTGCATCTGTGGGCGTGCATACATCTCTGGGCACGTGTGCACATCTGCAGGGCATGCGCATGCTTCTGTGCATCTGTGGGGTGTGTGCATCTGCAGGGTATACACGTGCATGTGTACATCTGTGTAGTGCGTGCGCGTGTGCGTCTGTGGGGTGTACACGCACGTGGGTGCATCTGCGGGGGGGGTGTGTGTGCGTGTGTGTGCGCACGCGTGTTCACCTGTGGGATGAGTGTGTGCGTGCGTGCGTGCATGCGTGCGTGCGGGCGGCCCTACCAGGCGCCGGCGGCAGCGGCCATCATTACCCGCTCCAGGTCCTGCCGCAGGTGTGTGAAGAGCTGCAGCCGCCGCAGCAGCGCCTCCTGCTCCTGCTGGCCCAGGTCGCCGTCCTCGTCCTTGCGGGGTGCCAGGAGCGGCTGGTTGAGGTTGACCTTGCGCTTGAGCTTCCAGTACTGGTACACGAAGTCCACCACGTCCTCGGGCAGCCGCAGCGCCCGCGCCACGTCCAGCAGGTCCACGAAGGTGTAGAACTCGTCCTCCAGCTGCTGCAGCTTCTGCTTCCGCGCGCTGCCCGGGTCGGCCGGCGGCTGCGCGGGGCTCCAGGGGGTGCCGGCGGGGCCCCCGCCCTCCCGCGCGCCCTCGCCCAGGGCCCCCTCGCGCGGGGGCCGCGGGGAGCTGTGCTTGGGGCAGTAGGACTTGAACTTGACCTCGTCGTTGTCGGCCAGGATGGTCTTCATCTCCAGGCCTCGGTCGAAGGCGCAGGTGACGTGGAAGGCCGTGCGGCAGTTCCTCACCGAGCACTGCGGGACAGCAGCAGGTCAGCCGGCTGCCGCGCGGACTCCGGGGGCCGGGGCCCGCCTCACGGGGGAACACGCCGTACCCCAGGGCAGAACCCCGTCCCCGAGCAGACCGGCAAGGGCCCGCTCCCTCCCGACTCCCGGGAGAATCCGCACCGGCCCGGGTCAAGGCCAGGCCCGCCCACCATCCTGCCCTGCCGGCTCCTGCCGGCCCGCAAGAGGCAACAAAGAAACAGCAGCAGCGGCTCAGAGACCCAGAACACCCAAGGGCGGCACTGCCCACTCACAGAGGAAACTCAGAGCCAGCCAAGGGCCGTCTCTGTCCTGTGCGCGCAAAGCAGGGAGCAACGCCCGGGCACGCGGGGAGGGGGCCGCGCGCGTCCTACCTGGATGGCGGCCCCGACCTTGTCCTCACACAGGCTGCAGAGCAGCGCCCAGCGGCTGCTGGGGATGTGGGAGACCTTGGTGATGGGCTCCATCTTCTCCGGGCTGCCGATGCTCACCTGCGGGGGGCAGCGTGGGGGCGGGGGGCAGCGTCAGCCGGCAGCCGGCAGCGGGCCCTCAGCCCCTCGGCCCCGGGAGGGGCGCACCCACCTCGGGGATCCAGAGCGCGCAGCTGACGTGCACCCACTTGGTCCCGCTGCGGGTGGGCTTCATGGCGCCGCCCTTCTTGGGGCAGAGCAGGCAGCGGGGCTGCACCCCCAGGGCACACGTGCGGCACAGCCAGCTGCCCTCGGGCACCTTGAGGATCCCGTAGCACGCCTGGGGCGGAGAGACCGTCAGCGGGCGGGGAGAGCCGGGCCACGCATGCGGGCTGGGACGTGCGCGGAGTCTGGGGCCCGCACGCGGGCTGGGGCCGGGTGCCAGCGGAGACATGCGCGAGGCGGGGCGCGGTGGGGGGGAAGGGGGCCCGGGACACGCGAGGGGGCCACGCCGTCCCCCCGAGCGGCACCTGGTGCACACAGATGTCGCACTTGTCGCAGAACACCATCTCGTTGCCGTCCTCGCCCTCCGGGGACTGGCAGACGTCGCACACCACGTCCTCGTCGTACTCGATGCCCAGCCCCTCCTCCGACTCGATGGCGCGGCTCATGTTGGCGTGGCAGCGCTGCTCCAGCTCCTCCAGCACCCGCTCCATGGTGCCCTCGTCCAGCTCGGGCATCCCTGCGCAGGGCCGGCTCAGCACCGCGGCCCAGACCCCCGCCGGCCCCCGCCCCCGCCGGGCCCCGCCCCTCACCCATCTCCCGGAACTCCTCGTTGGTCAGCTCCAGCCAGGCGGCGTCCACGTCGTTGAGGTCGTAGCGGCAGGCGCCGTCGGCCAGCGCGGGGGCCTCGGCCAGCGTCGTCCGGGGCTTCTCTTCCGACACCAGTCTGCACGAGACGAGCGGCCACGAGGCCGGCTTGCTGCAGGTCCCGCCAGGCCCCCGCGACCCGGGGCTGGGTCAGGGACGGAGGCGGGGGGGCCTCGGCCCTTCCGTGGCCCCACACCTGGGGCCCCGCGGCACCCACCTGGCCACGGGCTGCGGGATGGTGCCGGGGCTGACGGGCACCTGCACCCCCTTCTCCCACTCCTGCCGCCAGGGGTCGGCCAGCACGTAGTACTCGTCGGGGCTCAGCTGGAAGGAGTCGTGCAGCTTCATGGCCGTGATGAGGTCCGTGCGGAACACCTGGGCAGCACCCACAGGTCACCGGGAGCCCGGGCCCCCCAGGACCATTGCAGGCGCCAGGACACGGCAGGAGTCACAGGGGACATGCAGAGGGGCCCCCCGACACATGGCCGGAGGGTGGGGACAGGCAGAGCAGGGGTCCCTCAAACACTCAGCAGGGAGGGTGGGGACAGGCAGAGTCGGCGGGGCGGGGGAAGGCAAGGGCCACAGGTGGCCGAGGGGGCCAGCGGGGGGAGGTGCTACGGCGAGAGCCGGGGCCGCGCAGGACAGACCTCCGAGGGCTTCCGGTCCTCATGCCGAGAGCAGGAGCCTCTCCTGTGCGGGGCCCGCGAGCTCTGTGACCAGGTCGTGGACAGGCCTAGACAGAGCAGAGCGCAGGGGCCCGGGTCAGTGCCCTGAGTCAGCGGCTCAAGGGTACCTGTCCCGAGGGGGGCCCGGTCTGGAGGAGGAAGCCACGCCCAGCGGAGTCACTGAATGCAGCTGACTTGCTCACGACCTACCCCCGTTGGATCCCGGCACCCCACACGGTCCCCCAAACTGCCCAGGTGTGGTCCCTGAGCTGACTGCAGAACCAGAGTCAGCCCTGAAAGTGGCTGGTGTGGCCCCAAACTTCCCCTCAAAGAGTAAGAAGAGAAAAAAGGATGAAAAGAAAGGAGTTAAGATAGAAAGAAAAAGAATAAAGGTGGGGACTGAGCGATAGTCCAGGATCTGCCTGGCAGGGGGCCATCCCGGTTTGACCACCCGCACCCCGCCTGCTCCCCTGTGTGACCCCCTGGGAAGGGACCCCTGGGCACAGCGGCGTACGGCCCAAAGAACAAACACGTTTCCAAAGCAGAGTCACGGTGACCCGGTGCCTGCGGACAGGGCAGCCGGGGCAGACAAGGACACCCAGGCCCCCGGGCAGGGGCGCAGAGGGAGACACGTGTGCGCCCGCTGCCCCAGGGACATGCAGTACACAGCCTGCAGACCCCACCACCCCTGGCCGTCCAGAACCAGAACCGCCCAGCAACTGTGCCCCAAGCTGTGGCGGTGGGCCCCAACACAGCCCCTGTCCCACCCGCCGGAGCCCTTAAAGGAAACTCAAGCCACATGCTGGGACCTGGTGGGAATGCGGGCGCCTCACCCGCACCCGCTGCCGGCCCAAGGACACGAGACCTGAGGCCTAACGCCGCACAGCCCCGCGCCAACACCAGGCAGGGGAGTGAGCGGTGACCCCTCGGACTGCTGGGGTCCAGGCACAGCGCTGCAGGGGAGCAGCTCCTCAGGGGAGGGGCCACAGGGCCAAGCGCGGCTGATCCCCACACACTCAGGGCCACGGGATGGAGCCACGGCCATGGCCATGAGGAGCAGTCAGTGGCCACGGCCACGCGGGGCAGAGCCACCCGCCACAGGGGACGGAGCTGGGGGACACAGCCAATGAGGGTCACGTCCCAGCCACGGCTGTGGCCAGGGCACACGGACACCCTGTGGCCACGGATCGGGTCCAGCCGCTCGCCACCTTCCCCAAGTCCGTCAGGGTCTACTGCCCCGGCCACCCACTGCCACCAGCACGAGGGGGCATGCCCCGCGAGGGCGCAGAGCAGGCACACGGCCCCCGGGAGCTGCAGACTGCCAGGCCACAGGCCACCCTGCTGGCCCTGCACCCGGTCCTGACCATGCACATGGTCCTGACCATGACACACGCCGGACCTGAGGCCCCACGTCCGGGAGCCCAGAGCGGAGACAGGACTTACTGCCATTGGCGTCCGAGTCCTCGCTGCTGCTGGGCACGCGGCAGCGTTTCATGGTCCCCAGGAGGCAGCGGGCAGCCTGCAAAGCAGAGACAGAGACCGCATTTAGCCGGCTGGACCGGACCGATCCCGCCCGCACACACCCCAGACACGCCCACGGGCCTGCACACGCCACGCCACACCGACACGCTCACATGCCTGCACATGCCTGGCACGCCCACACACGTCCATACACGCCGCAAGACACGTCCACACACGCCTGTACGTGCCCTGCAACATGCCCATACAGGCGCCAGGTCATGCCCCCACACGCCCCGAGATGTGTCCGCACACTCGCCGCAACATGCCTGCACACGCCCCACACATGCCCCAAAACATGCCCCGAGCTGTGATGTTCCAGACACACTCACACTGCAGTTCCTGGAACCCCGACATCCCTCAGGCCTGCCACCCCAGCACAGTCCGGCACACACGTGTGTCATGTGCACGTTGGGGCGCAGCACACACATGTGCTGGGAGTGTGCGCAGGGCACCGCAAGGTACGCGATGGGCTTGGTCAAGTCTCTCCAAACCCTCACGGGGACTCGGGCTGTGAGCCTCGCCGGGCCCCAGACATCCCTGTGGGCCACCTGTCAACTCCGCGCCCAGCCCAGCCCCGGGGTCACAGCAGACCCACACCCGCCTCGGGGATCCAAAGGCAGTGCCAGAGACACACTTCCCTCTAGCCCCCCGGTGCTGAAGAAAAGGCAGAGCAGCAGCCAGGGAGAACAGCCGGGCTCAGGAGTCTCACCCGCGAGCACCCACGCGCCCAGACACACACCCATACACACCCCATGCACACATACACTCACACACACCCCCGTGCACATGCACACCTATACATACACGCCCATGCACACAAACACCACATACACCCATACACACATGCACACCATACTCACCTGATGCACACACATGCCCACATACATGCACGCCTATACATACACACCCATGCACACACACCCACGCCCATAGACATAAGCACATCTCATACACACATGCACACCCACACCCATACTCACCCAATGCGCACACACACACACCCATACATATGCACGCCGATACATATACCCCCATGCACACACAGAACTCAAAGATGTACACCCATACACATGCACGCCCATACATACACCCACGCACACACACCCCATACACACATGCACACACCCCATACATCACATGCACCCACACACAACCGTACTCACATGCACGCCCATGTACACACACCCCATACAAGCGCACCTACACACACATGCACGCTCTCACACGCACCCTAATCACCCCGTGCACTCACACCCCGTGCACACACGCAGGCAGGCGCCCAGCGCTGCACTTGGGGAGCAGCCGGCGACCAGAGGGGCCCGACTCCCAGGCGCAGACCTCCGAGGCGCGCGTCCGGCGCCCAGGTGTGCGGGGGCCACGGCCCTCCCGCCCTGCGCCGGGACCAGCCCCCGCGCTCGCTCGCCGGGGCGCGGGAAGCCCCGCAAGCGCCTCTCCCGCCCGGGGCGCCCCGGAGGCGGCCGGGGCCGGTCTCCTCTGCGGGCGGCGGGTCCGGGGTGCGCCCGGGGGCCGCGGGGGTCCGGGCGGCGGGGAAAGAGCTCCGAGCAGGTGGTGGGCCGCGGCGGGCAGGGGGCGGCGCCCTCCCGGCCAGCACCGGCGGCGGGGACAGCGCAGGGCCCCCCCCCCCCCGGGACCCCGAGGCGCGGGCGGCGGGCACGTGGGTGGGTGGGTGGGCGGGGGGCGCGCGGGCGGCTCCGCCCCCGGCCGCCACACCTGCCGGGCAGGTGCGGGGGTCCCGGGCCGCGCTCCCGCGCCCCGGCCGAGCCACGTGCGGGCCTCCCGGCGGCCGGCGCGGGGCGGGGGTCCCGGGCGCGCCCGCAACGGCCGCCCGCGGGGTCTGGCCCGGCTTTGTGCGGGGCCGCGGCCGCCGACCGTTAGGGCCCGCGCACGTGCGGCGACTCCGGGCCCCCGCGGCACCTGCCCGCGCCGCGCCCGGGACGCGGGGCCGCGCGACGCGACAAGTGCCGCCCGCCCGCCCGCCCGCCCGCCCGCAGGCCCCGCCGCCCCCCGCCGCCCGTTCCCGCCGCCCCCCGCCCGCCCGGCCGCCCGCCCGCGCCGGCGCCATGTTCGTGACGCGCGACCTTCCGGGCCGGTACCTGCTGCTGGGCCGCGCCGGGCCCGCGCCTTCTGGGTCACGGCGGCCGCGGGCGGGCGGCGGGCGGCGGGCGGGGCGGGGGCGCGGCGGGCCCGGGGCGCCGGCCTCCTTAACCCTTGGCGGCCCGGCCCGGCCGCCGCCGCCGCCGCCGCCTCGCCGCGCCGCGCCCCGAGCCTGGGCGGCCCGCCCGCCCCGCCCGCCCCGCCCGCCCACGTGACCGCCACGCCCCGCCCCCGCCCGCCGCCGCCGCCGCCGCCGCCGCCGCGTGTCGCCCGGTCGCCGCCGCCGCCGCCGCCGCCCGGCCGGGGCGCCTGCCTGTTGTGGCCGGGAGCCGCGGGTCCGGGTCCGAGCGCGGGGCGCGCACCCCCCCGCGCGCCCCGGCCTGCGTGTCTGCCGGGCGCCCCACGCGGGGTCGGCAGCCCTGCCCAAGAACCCGGGCCACTGCGTCCCCTTGGGGGAGGATCCGGCTGCCCTGTCCAAGAACGGGACCGCTACGTCCCCATGGGGGTCAGTGCGTCCCCCTGGAGGGTCGGGCTGCCCTGCCCAAGAATGGGGGCCACTGAGTCCCCTTGGGGGATCGGGCTGCCCTGCCCGAAAACTAGGACCAGGGGGCCTGCTCAAGAACCAGGGCCACTGCGTCCCCATCGGGGGTCAGTGCGTCCCCCTGGAGGGTCAGGCTGCCCTGCCCAAGAACGGGGGCCACTGGGTCCCCTTGGAGGATCTGGCTGCCCTGCCCAAGAACGGGACCGCTACGTCCCCATGGGGTGTCAGTGCGTCCCCATGGGGAGTCAGTGCATCCCCGTGGAGGGTCAGGCTGCCCTGCCCAAGAACGGGGGCCACTGCATCCCCTTGGGGGGTCAGGCTGCCCTGCCCAAGAACGGGGCCACTGGGTCCCCTTGGAGGATCTGGCTGCCCTATCCAAGAACGGGACCGCTACGTCCCCATGGGGTGTCAGTGCGTCCCCATGGGGAGTCAGTGCATCCCCGTGGAGGGTCAGTCCATCCCCATGGAGGGTCAGGCTGCCCTGCCCAAGAACGGGGGCCACTGCATCCCCTTGGGTCAGGCTGCCCTGCCCAAAAACCAGGGCCAAGAGGCCAGCACATCTCCACGCAGGGCTCAGGCTGCCCCGCTCAAGAACCGGGGCCACTGTGTCCCCATCGGGGGTCAGTGCATCCCCATGGAGGGTCAAGCTGCCCTGCCCAAGAACAGGGGCCATTGCATCCCCCTGGGGGGGTCAGGCTGCCCTGCCCAAGAACCAGGGCCAGCACATCCCTCAGAACAGGAATGCCTCTGTCTTCTCCAGGGCCGGAACCCCCAGAGAGCAGCCAGCTCCCCACCCATGCTCAGCCCCAGGGGGCGTAGAGGCACCAGGAGGTGTGTCATTCCCCCCCCCCCCCAAAGGCAGGGCTGGTCCCAGGCAGGTCCCAGGCCCCTCCCGCCCTGCCATCAGGCCGGCACTTCTCCCCACTGCAGTTTGGGGGAAATGCTGGTTCTCGGGTGGGTGGGCATTAGGGTCAGCGCCAGTCTCCAGCCCACCATGGTGCCGGCTCTTTGGGACATGATTTTACAGAGAGTGATGCCGTTTTCAGACGTTTTGTTGAGAGGATTCTCCAGAGTGAAAATTCTGGAGAAGGAAATTGCACCTCACGGGAAGCAGCCCAGGGCACACCAGGTGGGAGAGCCAGAAATAAAGAGGGGGACCCCCGGCCAGGCGCGTGTGGAGGGCTCGTGCTGGCCTTGCACGCGGCTGACGGGGTTCATCAAGGACCACATACGGTCCCCCAAGCCCCGCCAGGAGTGATTCCTGAGCACCGGCCCCCCAAAAGAGCACAACCCCGAGTCCAGCGCCTGACCTGGAGAAGTCTGGAGAACTGCATCTTACGGGCTGCTGCTAGAAGTGGCAAGATGAATGGATTTTTTGTTTTGTTTTGTTTTGTTTTGGGTCACACCCAGTGATGCACAGGGGTTACTCCTGGCTCATACACTCAGGAACTACTCCTGGCAGTGCTCAGGGGACCATATGGGACGCTGGGAATCGAACCCGGTCGGCTGCATGCAAGGCAAACCGCCCTACCCGCTATGCTATCGCCCAGCCCCGCTGAATGGATTCTGAGCCCTCAGGATCCGCCTTTAGTCTCCTGGGCGGCCCTAGCGGCTGATCCCATCTTGGTTCAGGGTTTTCCCCTAAACTCTTTGCCCAGGGAGTGCCCTGAGTCGCTGGGCCACTCCCCTGCCTGCCTGCCACCTTCTGTGGAGAGACAAGAGACCGCACCCTTCCCGGCAGCTGGCACGGCGCACGCCCCGCTCCCCTGCCCCAGCAGCTCTCCCACCCTCCGCGCATCAGACCAGAGACCGGGTCAGGTGCGATGAGCCCGGGGGAGAGGGCGGCGGGTCCCCAAGAACCAGAAGCAAGAGCGGCCCACAGCCCCACGCCCCAGGGCGGCTCTGGACACATGCTCACCAGGCCCAGAGACACAGCCAGCAGGGCCCCTGAACTGCAGGAAGGAGGAGTGGGAACACTTGGCTCCCTGCAAGCCAGCACTGGCCTCTCAGCCACCGCCCCTAAGGGGGGCAGGGTGGCCTCTGGCCTGGGAAGCCAGAAGCTCAGCTCTGCCCCTCGACATCCCCCGGCCCCGGGCGGCTCTGTTGCCTCACACTGACTATCAGGCGAGAAAACCTCATTGCGACATGCAGAGCCGCCCAAGTGTCGGACCCCACCGGGCGCTCACACACAGCCGACTGGTTTGCTCCCCTTGTCCGGGGGCCTATGGAGGAAAAAGTTCCAGAACTTTCCTTCCATCTTCCTGCGTCTGGAACCACGCGGGATTAAGGCCACGTGCGTGTGCTTGGTCCTTTCATCTGTGTCTGCTGGGGATGGGGACCGA